CTTGTTTTGCCAGATGCACAGGTGGGAGAAACGTTGACGCGCGCTCGCTCCTGGACACATACTGTCATGACCCTAATGCAGACGAAGATGCATGAGGGCTCATTAAAGGGCCGATTTCATTCTCTGCTTAGTGGGTTGCTAACCGGAATGTGGTGCATAACATGCTCATTTTGCCTTATTTGTGGGATAATTTGCTAGCCAATGTTTTTTACACTAAGCAGTTTCCATACAATGTTTATAGGTAGAGCATATCATTTGCAGCAATCCAAAAAGTAACTGTTGAAATTATTGTTGAAAAGCATACTTGGTTTAAAGATAATAATGGCACTAAGCTCCCTGTGAAATTATTTTTTTGGGGGGGGCATGCTGTCAATATGAAGAAAACAGAAGGTCCTTTCCAAAGATGCGTCTGCAGACGCATTTCTGGCAGTATCCATTGGTAGTTTGTTTTTAATTTGGCAAAGCCGTGAATGGGTGCGCGCAAGCGTTGACTCGACGCACACGCGCACACCGTTACTATAATTCGTTGGTTCAGCGTGTGACATCAAGTAGCTGTACCCGGATGGATGAGAACGTGTCCCAGACGCTGATTTCGGCACAATTCAATACATGTCTCGGCAAGTTCTGAATTGAAATTGTGATCCTAGAATGTTGTTTTCTCGGAATACACAGCATTCAATGAGCTAAAACTTCATCAGGTTAGTTGTTAAGCACCCTTCTTTCATTGTCTTTAGATTTTGAGCAATTTTGTTGATTTAAACGGAAAAAAAATGCACAAATAGCGAATGATATACTACACCTTTAAAGGTACGTCGGATCATTTGCTTTTTGTGCATTATTTTAGTTTGAACCGAAATTGCTAAAAATATTAAGTGGGGTGCACCGCTAACCTGTGGAAGTTTTAGCTCAGTGGCTCCTACATTTTGAGAAAACTTGGAAAATATATGCTTCAGTTTTTGGGTCTTGTAACTGAATTCCTTCAATGATTGTTTTCTTCCGAACGATACCATTTCAGGCAGAATAATTTCACAGAGTATTTGGTACCATCCCCAATTTCAATTTGAGCAAGGTTTTTCTCATTAAATCGGTGGCTTCGTTTCCGGGTAATTACCAATGTTCCTACATGTACCGTACGTGCCTTTAATCAACCATCTACATGAAGTACAAGTACAGCATCAATAACCTCCATAAATTTATGTAAATGTTTAGGGCAACCCTGAGTGCTTATTAGTGTCAGCTCTTACAATGTACATCAAGATAAGATTTTGTTTATAACCTTGTCAAATATGTGTCACATCCATGTCCAATTTCAATGCATACTCATTGTAAAATTTAAAAATAAAGATTATTATCGATCAATGATGATGAATATATCTCATTTCTAAACAGATTATAACTACCTACTCAAAGCACTACTCAAAAGTTCCAAGCATCAGTCAAATGCACGCTTATCGCAGCATTTAGTGCAGACACTAACTTGAGCCTGAATTGTTTAAACAAATTGCCACCAACATAGAGTCATTTCGTGTCAATTCAACACGATTTTGGACCCGACCCTCACAGATTGAAACGATATTTGGTGTGATGATTGGCCTATATGAGAAACCCCGGAACTGAATTTTTTTGTAGTTTGGCTCGTTAGATTTTAAGATACGGGAAGACGAACTTTTGACTAATTAGCATGACCTCCGAACTTTAAATACTTGCATCTCCAAAAGTATAGCACCTACAAAGCCAAGTTGTACATCTTATTAAAGCTCTTTGAATGGCCTCCTTTTTCATAAAATCTCATAAAGGCCAATCATCACACCAAATATCGTTTCAATTTGTGAGGGTCCAAAATTGTGTTGAATTGACACGGAATGACCCTATATCAATAAAAAGCCTGAAACACTAAAAAAAAAAAAAAAAAAAAATTACCCTTACCCCCTTTCAAAAATGTGTTTTCTGGATGTTTCAGACCAAATCCAGCACTTTAGTTTGTCACATTTTTTTGAAACAAAAAACCCTGAAAAGTGGCATCTCTGTTTAAAGGGAACTGTTCTCATCTGCAGCCGCTATCAAATTCCGCCGAAAACAACTCGATAATGTCACCAAGCACTCTCTCTCTCTCCTAAGAATCATCATTCTATTCCTGAGGACTCCAAAACAGGATACCCACGAAGATAAAAAAGCCTGAGAACGGCAAAGAAGTAAAATTTTGTATTCAGACGGCAAGGCATTGTGGGGACGCAGCAGGCATTGAAGGTGGAAATGTCAAAGTGCTCGACACAAGAGCTGCGATTGAGCGCAGGAAAGGAACCGAGTTCTTTACACATCTCGCAGCAGACAGAAATCTGACACCTTCTCACAGCACCGACTATTGTACTTCGTCTTCCCCGACATGTTTTTCAACTTCAATATTTTGTATCCTTCACACGTCGAACAACATGCATGTCTCTTAATAGGACAAACATCAGGAGACCAAAAGTGAAATCTGTTAATGTGAATTTCACTGCACCAAATGATTTGTTTTGTTTTTCATGTCAAAAAGATATTTTTTTTATTCAAGATATTCTAATTTTACTGGAATTTTTTTTTTTTTTGTAGTGAGACAAGAAAATACTCCTGGAAATGTAGTACCTTCTAAATTTAAGAAAACCACTTTTGGGAGTGAAAGATTTGTAGTTGAAATGTATACCTTTCCTCTTATTTCTTTGCCTTTATTTTTTGTTTGACTGAATTTAAAATGAAAATATTACCAATTGAGGTGACAGGTTGCTTGCATGCCAACATATTGGCGCATCTACATGTACCGGGTAAGTAACATACAATGTAGATGTAAGAATAAATATATTGACAACAACTCCTCTAATAATCTATTTTCCTTTTTATTTGAATGAGAGCCATTTTCAAGACACAAGGAATGCTATGGCAAAGTCCCTTTGGCAATTAGAAAGTCACCAAATAATGCATTATGTATTTTGGGTCACTTGAGTCAAGCCCGAGTCCGAGTCTCAAGTCACTTGGATCGAGGCCCAGTTTGAGTCTTGAGTCATCTGGGTCGAGTTTGAGTCTCAAGTCATAGTCACAAGTCTCAAGTCCTAGTCACAAGTCATTTGATTCAAGTCTGAGTCTGAGTCATGAGTCACTTGAGTCAAGTCTGAGTTCAAGTCTCAAGTCACTTGGATCGAGTCCCAGTTCGAGTCTTGAGTCATATGGGTCGAGTTCGAGTTTTGAGTCTTTTGGGTCGAGTCCTAGTCACAAGTACTTTTTGATTCAAGTCTGAGCCAAGAGTCATTTGATTCAAGTTCGAGTCCGAGTCACATTTGTACGAAGTGGACGAGTATGAACATGAACACTCATGGCACTGTTGCGGGAAAAAGGGAGACTTACACTTAATAACAAACATTATTATCTGCAACATTATCTAGAGAGTGGTGTGGTACGGTTTGTGCTCAACGTTCTTTAGCCTTGCTTTAACGTGACTTTCGGAAAATAAACATCAAAATCATATTTTTAAGAGTTAAAAAAAAAATAAAATCAGTGACTCACAACTCATGAGTCATTAGTGTCAAGTCAAGTCTGAGTCAGCAAAATTGCGACTGGAGATGGACCCAATTCAAGAGTACCGGTACTCTACGAAATCTGGCTGAATCCAGAGTCTTCCCTTTGCTTCTCAAAACAGCAAATACATCGTCCTGGTCTGTTGCAAATTGCCTTGCTGAAAATTGGGTTCTCCTCGCCTTCCACCTCTATGGCCCGGGATCGAATCCTGCCCTGGTCCACATGTGGATTTGGTTTTCAGTCCTTACATGTACATAATTCAGTGGGTTTTGCAAAAAATATTCTTCTCAGGTTTTCCTCCCACCTCTAACACTGTACTTTCTTTGTTGTCTTCTCTACAAGTTTTTCAGGCCTAGGGTGCTTTTGAGGAATCCTTGGTTTACCGTAAATAAATTTCATAATACGTGTAATCACAAAGTTTGTTTCAGCCATGATTGACACATTTCTGCCTGCTCATACCTGGTTTTGTAACATGCCCAGAGGCCATCGGCACATGTACATTTGACATTTAGGAGTGTAGGATTGTTTTTCTGTATAAATCAACAATGAGTAAGAAAAAAAAATCAAAGCACGTACACATTACCATGTGTAACCGACACCTCAAGTAGAGGCTTGTTATGAATCTTTAATGTTGCTCTCTCAGCGCATTTTTTTCGTGTTTCACCAAAAAATAGATTTTGTTTTCCAACTGCTATATTTATAGTACAGTAAGACAAAGAGTTATCCACTTTTGCAATGGGACATGGAACAAAGTAACGTTTAGTTATGGAATATTTACTTTGTGAATTTCGAATTATCTGCAGCTTAACATTATTTCTGTATTTTTCTGTGCGTTATGGGCACAAAAGCAACCCAAAACAACAATGCGTATTTTCAGAGGGTTAAAAATGTCCAAAATCGGAAAAAGCTGCTTAAAAATTTGACAATTTTTGTATTCTCACAAGAACAAATATCAGGGGTCACTTGGAGTCTCAAAATTTGAGCAGTTTGAGAGCTAGCTATACAGGGTAAGTAAAAAAAAAAACAGCACCCAAATTTCTGGACCATTGTTTTAGTGAAGTTCTGCATGTAGCACTAAATCTAGGATATGAAAGCCCACTTCATAAGCTTTCTTTTAGTAAAAGAATCTTTCAAATCACTCTAGTAATTTTCAAGCTAGGGAATTTTAACCACAACCACCGTTTTAAAGTTCTGTCAACGGATCACAAAAAGGTGTTCTTTCAGCAAAATGAAAACAAATCACATAGGGATGTGTGTGAATTGTTTTCGTTTTGCTGAAAGAACGCACACCTTTTTCTGTGATCAGTGGACAGAACTTTAAAACGGTGGTTGTGTTAAAACTTTTGAACCTGAAAAGTACATGGGTGATTTGAATGATTCTGGTACTACAAGAAAGCTTATGAATTGGGCTTTCATATCCTAGATTTTGAAAGTGCTACATGCAGAACTTCACTAAAACAATGGTCTCGACATTTGGGTTTCATTTTTGTTTTAATCACGCTATTATGTGACAAATCTCTTTTGTGAGTTTGTGAGGTTCTGAGTGAAACTCAAATGTATCGGACAGTATACTCTGCCTGTCGCCATCTCCTGATGACGGGCAGATATATGTACTGTCTGAAACATTTCCCTGGTTCTTTTCAGAAACTCACAAACTCATGAAAGAAAAATGTCACAAGGTGCTACCGTACATGTAAATCTTTATGCTATTGCTATCTTCACCATGCAAACTTTCAAATTGTATGTGTAATTCCAGTCCCACATGTTCCTTTTAAAACGTTAATTAAAATATGTGTGTACCGGTACATCACTTTAAGGTGTTTATTGAATGTAAAGGCTAATTAGAATAAAAAGCTATGTTTGAATATTGATCAAATAACCACATGTTTTCTTAGTCTTCGTGGGAGCTTACTACCGGTAGCAACTTCAGCAAGCAAATGGGAACTTACTGTAGCTACCTTTTCTCAGCATGCTCAGGTACAATAAGCGTTTCCGTTCAATCTGGCTTTTCAAACCTGATAAGTAAACTAAATCACAAATCACAAAATTTCCGGCGATTTCAGGACAACGTGCACATTTAAGGTTCCTTCTTCTCACTTTTACATGGAGTTTAAATGCACCAAACAGCGCCGTAAAACTCGGCCTCTGTGTTTTGTCTTCTGCACCGCATGACCAATTCGTCTGGGCATGAGTGTTTTGCGATTCGTGTTATCCCAGCATCGCCAGACAAACAGTCCAAAGCTAGATATAAATCTCTCTTCGGTGGTTCTTGTTTGTCGATGGTTTACGTTTCAGAAGCCTATTCGGTAGTTGGGGGGTGTTTCTTGTCTCGCCACATGCTTTTTTGATGAACGCGGGATCAAGGTACGACGTGACTGTGAACGCAAATAAATCATAAGTCCAGATGCTGTTTGGAGAACGTAATCGATCCAACACCCCCCCCCCCCCCCCCGAAATTGCTAGACATCCTTGCCGATGATGCACTGTAATCAGTTAGATGAGAAGACCCACGGTTGTTTAAAATAAAACCCTCCGACAAAAACCCTGAAAACTTCTAAGATTGATGGTGGAACGATGCGTCATGTATTGACGCAGCAACGATCTTGAAATGTCACGGTGCAAGAAAGAAGTGTCGGGGGAAAGGGGGGGGGGGACACGACATTTTGATACAGAAGCACACAGACAAGGCAGCTTGAAGCTGTCAGAAAAACGGAAACAGGGCAGTCAATCTCTTTTCTTGGCCTTTTTTTTAATTAAGGACGTCACGGCTGAGTTTGCGCATGCATACGTTCCTGACTGCCGGTGATGGGGAAAAACAGTGAATCAGATGATGATTTACAATGTACCGGTATATTAAGGAACTTTGTGCACAGAGCGCCAACTTGCTTGTGACGGGAAACATGCAGTGTCTGTATTTGATGAAGTATCACTGGCTATGAGTTTGGAGTTTGCCTAAACGATCCAGGATTTTTTCTGCTTTCTTCAGCAGAAAAAAAGTATCTGGCTGTCACAGATTTGAGTGGAATTCATTGTTTTTTTAACCAGAGCAAGGCACAGAGGGGGATTTCCATTTCCCCCCTAAATCAAAAGGTAAAGGATTATTTCATGGTGCTTTTTAGTATATCATTTGCAGCTATCCAAAAAATAACTGACAAAATTATTGTTGAAGAAGCTTACTTGGTTTAAAGATAGTAATGACACAGATCTCCCTGTGAAATTATTCTTTCTGGCATGCTGTCATTGTGAAGAAAACCAAAATGAAAGGAGGCCATTTCCAACGATGCGTCAACGATGCTGCAAGCAGTTGCCCCCCCCCCCCCCTTTCCCCTCGGCAAAATGATAAGCATTTGTGTTTTTTTCTTGTGGTGTAAACCCCCCCCCCAGCTGGTACTGTGGCCCCCGTAATGGCCGGAGCTGGCAATGGAGCTGGCTTTGGTGTGAAATGCACATGCATTGAAATACTTCAGACATGGTAAGTTTGCAAAGCGGGAGGGTGTAACGGCATATAACACTACATAAAGGTGGCACTATTCACAATAGAAAAATAGGCACAGAATTTACACATTCGTGTTACACAAACATTCTTCAATTACATTTTAAGGGCTGTTTGTTGGACCCTCCCCCAACACCACTATGGGCTTAGATATAGCAGAAGGTCGGCCAGGTGAAAGGAAGAAGGGGCATAAGATTTTAGGCTTTACATGGTGGAGTACCAGTATCGTTTCGGTTTGCGGTAACACCATGTGGTAATAACCAATTCTAACAACAAAGCCTGCTTAAAGAGCAGCATCTCCAACTCTCCTCAGTCTCCTGACGATGACTACAGCAGGCTAGACGAAACGTTGTGACCAACGACAAGTTCTTTTAGAACTTAAAGCAGGACTGTTCTTATCAGAACCAAAACTACTTAATAAGATGGGATTTTTGCGTAGGGGTGATGTAAATCAAGTTAGGTTTTGCCCTTCACGTAATTAGCGAAAGTTGAAAATAAGCAGGACAAGTTCTTATCAGAACTAAATATCTACTGAGCGACAGTAGTTATTACCACATGGTTATTACCACATGGTGTTACGAAACCGAAACGGAACAAAAAAAATGTTACCCAAATGATAAGAAGGGGCATGCTGCTGGATCACACACCCCAGTAGACCTCTCTTCAGCTTAAAAATACATGTACATGTACAAGGACAAGGCCTCCACGAAAGAGATGAATCAACTTAGAACGTTATTTTGAACTGATCACTGAATATCCATAACAACAAATACATGTAAATGCAGGCTCATCAACTGATTACAGAGGGTTCATCCATGGAGAGAAGGCTGATCAACTGACTGAAGAAGGCTCATCAACTTATATCAGATATGACTCAACAAGAAATGTCCATCGTCTGGTAAAATACCTTTAGAATTACAGATAACAAGAACCGAACAAAGTCTGTCAACGATTAACCCAAACACTCTTGAATGCTCAAATTTTAATATGGTTTTTCACACGCCCTAAAGGGGTTAGAGTTAAGAGATCCAAACAGCATTGCAATAAAACCATGCTCATCCGCAGATTTAAGAAGACTCATCAACTGTGTTGAGAAGGCTCATCAACTAACTTAAAAGTACATACACTGTAAGGCAGTACCTGCACCACAAACTGCTTCTATTTTGACTGTTCAATGAATCAATCAAACTAAGGTAGGACTTACCTGGAACACAGGGCAGGCTGCTTCATATCTCCTCTACGCTGTAATGTCAAAGAACCTGTCTATGTATGCTGCTACCATCTCCGTGGTAAGCTTCATGTACTTGTTGGGGTTCTTGGTGAAGTTAATCAGCATGTACCTGTGTCATAAAAAAAATCAACAGGTAGTCCATAATTTCTGGATTCTTGTGGGCCCTCTTAAATGAACTTCATGAGCTTTTCAACAACAAAAAAAGCTTTCCCAATCGGAAAAATATTATTGAGTTTTGACCAATTGAACACGAGTGCCACTTTTTAATTTTTTTTCCACGGCAAATGATATTTGAAACTTCCATCCTTGAAAGAAGCAACCAGTAGAGGGCAGAGCAGAAAACAGCTGAGAAGTTAAAACACAACACAAGTTAAACTTTTCATGACTACAATTTCTTCTCAAAAGAGAAATTACCCTTGTTGCAAAATTTAAAAGTGGCACTGTTTTTTAAATTGACCATAACTCAATTAACATTTTCCTGATAGGAAAGTTGTTTTTGAAAAGCTAGCGAACGAAACTTGTCAAATGTGCATCAAGACTTTCGAAGTATTTTTTACAAAACTGTGAAAAAGAGGGAGCTTCGACTGTTCGGTTTTTTGGGGGGCCACCCTGTATGTAAAGTGCCTCTGGACTCCAAATCTTCATAAATTGTGAAACCGAAATTTGAGTCAATGTCCTTTCCTTCCTCTAGGCAATGTTGAAGTTGAGTCCATCACAAGTCCAGTCAAAAGTCCATCACAAGTCCAGTCACAAGTAAATCAAAAGTCCATTCACATTTGCAGGGGTTGAACAAAAAGGAATGCAAAGGAATGCCTTCATCAAATTTCATTTGAAGAAATTGTAAACTTGAATTGGGACTGGGCGACTTTTAACGACTTGTGAGGACCTGCAGGGACTTGTGATGGACTCGTCCAACAACACAGCCTCTGGGCTATTAAACAAAAAACCTATTCAGCTAAAAAAAAAAAAAAAAAACACACACAGAGAAATAATAGACAAATAGGGCAGGTGGTTGGGATAGTCTGATGAAAGGCTGACCGAGAGCATCACAACCACACACAAAAAGGACAATCCTCAAGGTAAAAACGTTCTGAAAGGCTGAAAAGAGGAATGGATTTTTGGCAACATCAACAAGCTTTCTAAAGGACATCACTACAAATTACAGGAAGTTGGCTAAAAATAGTGTTTTTGAGGAAATCTCTTGAAATGTTTTCTTTTTTTTCCTCTTCTCAATAAGCCTGTCAGCAGCTGCCAATCACATCATTGCTGCTTAGCTAATTCATAGCGGAGAAACAATTTAAGGTAATATACAACATTTGCAAACATTAAATATACAACACTACCAAATTATTATGGAATAAGCTTACTTGACTGTAATAGTGAATAATAGTCTCAAGCATAGAATAATAGTCTCGAACCAGCCAACCGATCCCGTTGGCTCAGTGGTCGAGTGGTAAGACATCTGCACTAGAAAGCAGGAGGTCGTGGGTTCGAGTCCCACCCGAGTGATTTTGTCCAACTTTCACTCGGGAGGTAACACACTGAGTATACAGTGTATAAACGTCGGTGAAGGGCAAAAACCTAATTTGATTTATATTGTCCCGACGCAAAAAAATTCCATCTTATAATAGTCTCACGCATCCTGTGAAATCATGGCACCTGGTGTACTGTCATTCTCAAGAAAAGTGGAATTTTTGTATCAATTTCCAAAATACTGCCCCCAATTTACAAAATTCAGTTAGTCCGCAGAAACAAGTGACAACCGCAATGACTGAGTACACCACTCTTAGGCCTGCCCAAGAAAATGGGATTCTGGAAGGGCAGCATTAAAATTGCGCCACCATGCACCAAAGCTATGAAGAGTTCTTGTCCCCCCCCCCCCTGGTTCCCCCCCCCCCCCCCCCCCCCCCCCCCCCTCTGCTTTCATATTTAATTTGGGGTGGAAAACTTTTGGAACCACTTTTTCAGGGAACAAAAAGCAAATTTTGAACCCCCCCCCCAAAAAAAGTGTTTTGGATCCCCCTTAAATGCACACCATAAGTACCGGTATGCTTGGATTTTCCTAGGTAGCGCTGCCAAACTTCCCAAGAATGAATTGGACTCATCAGGTTGATCAAGGGCGGGTCCAGAACAAAATTTTTTGGGGGCCCAAACAAATTTTGGTCCCCCAAACGTGGGTCCCAAAAATTACGGCATGGGTTCGGGGCCCGCTATTAAGGGCCCCGAAACATTTTTGGATTCTAGATGCTCTGTGGTGCGATCTGAGGCAATTTCTGACCACTTTAACCAAATCTTTTTGAGGAAAAGATGGTGATGTACGCAGTGCCTGCCTTTATTGCGACGCCACTTAAAAACCCCTCTTTTTTTGGGGGGGGGGGGGGGAGGGAGCCACGGCCCCCATTGCCGCCCCCCCCCCCCATCCGCCCTTGAGGTTGTTAGTGGCCTCTACCACCAAGGCGCCTTGACTGCACTTTGTCAGGGATCGAGACTGGTTGCACCAAAGAAACAAAATCCAAGTCCAGTCTTGGAACCAGACTAATATTCAGGCAGTTTCTATTCACAGCTGCCATGGATCAAAGGACTAGACTGGTGACAGTTGCCAATGCAGGATTCAGTTACATTACAGATTGGATGGGATGGATACGTGGGCTTAATGAACACCGTCGCCAATGCCATGCGAGCCAATCTGGCATGAGGTTTTGATTAAAGGCACACCTAACCCCGACAAGGACCTTGATTTGCAATACCAATCAACCGTATCTGGAATTACCTATTTATCTGGAAATGAAAAACAAAGTTTCACATCTTATAGGATCATTTGCATTTATCCCAAAAGTAACCTACCAAATTTAGGCCAAAAAATAGTTCTGCTTCCAGTTACCCTACCATACCTATCCTATTTTGACAACCCCTACCCTATTTTTTTTTTTTGGGGGGGGGGAAATGAGGAAACCCCACCCCCCCCAAAAAAAACCCATTAATTACTACCTTTTAACTTTGAGTACATGCAGACACCTCCATATGATCGTACACAAAAAATTCCCTACCTACCTACCCTACATGTGTATTTTCAAATGCCATGTAATTGGAAGCAGATAACTATTGTTTTTGTTTGGCGTTATTATCAAAAAGCTTACATGTAGATGGATTAAAGATCGTACTGGTATTAAATAAACACCCCATGAAATTATTCTGTCTGGCTTGCCGTCATTTAATGGAAATCTAGAAATGTAGGGGATTTCCAATTGTCTGATTTTTGGGGAATAAAGACTGCCATGGATGAAATCGTGTTTCATGTTCAAAACGTTTTTTTTTTAACTGTTTTCTCAAAAAGTGTGCAACATCCACTGATCTGAAACTTTACCAGGCATAGGTTTTGAACATTCTACTTTAAATTTTGAGTGGTGAAATCCATGGAAATTAGCTAGGGAAAATCCATGGAATCAGCTGAAGAAAACTCATGGAATCAGCTAGGGAAAACCCAGGAATCAAACAGGAAAAATCAATGGAATCAGCTAGGGAAAATCCATGGAATCAGCTAGGGAAAATCCATGGAATCAGCTAGGGAAAACCCAGGAATCAAATATGAAAAACCCATGGAATCAGCTAGGGAAAAGCCATGGAATCAGCTAGGGAAAACCCAGGGGATCAGCTAGGGAAAAGCCATGGAATCAGCTAGGGAAAACCCATGGGATCAGCTAGGGAAAACCCAGGGAATCAGCTAGGGAAAACCCATGGGATCAGCTAGGGAAAACCCAGGGAATCAGCTAGGGAAAAGCCATGGAATCAGCTAGGGAAAACCCATGGGATCAGCTAGGGGAAACCCATGGAATCAGCTAGGGAAAACCCATGGAATCAGCTAGGGAAAACCCAGGGAATCAGCTAGGGAAAACCCAGGGAATCAGCTAGGGAAAACCCAGGGAATCAGCTAGGGAAAACCCATGGAATCAGCTAGGGGAAACCCATGGAATCAGCTAGGGAAAACCCATGGAATCAGCTAGGGAAAACCCATGGAATCAGCTAGGGAAAACCCATGGAATCAGCTGAAGAAAACCCATGGAATCAGCTAGGGAAAACCCATGGAATCAGCTAGCGAAAACACATGGAATCAGCTAGGGAAAACCCAGGGAATCAGCGAGGGAAAACCCAGGGAATCAGCTGAAGAAAAACCTAGCTGAAACCTAGTAAAACTGTACTACATGTATGTTAAAGGAAATGTCAAGTTTTATCTGTTATAAAAATGTCACTCTCCTAGGCACATCCCATGTAAAATGTGATTACTCTAAGGGAAAAAAACTATGCAAATATTTGTCAATGCAATCCACATGTAAGCATGTTGTACAAATGTAAATGCAAAACTGGAAATAGTTTCAAATTTTTAACAAACTGCCTGGCTTGAGGCATGGCCTGAGGCACCGAACTCATCAAGTGATTGCAGGCCTTGATCCCGTCACGAAACAGTGGTTCGCCTGGATATATTGGTTACTTTAACTCATTGGTACGGGCAAATGTGCATTTGCATTTGACATTTGAGAGCGATGCGTTTGGCGTATCCCCTCGTGGGTCGGATTAAGGACAGCTGAAATGACTGGCTTGGAAAGCAGGTCCCCTTCTGATGAGGGGAGGAAAGCTGAACCACCGAATGAGGATTGGAAATGTCAACGTCGATCAGGTTTCTAGTTAAATGTTGTGGATGGTTTGAGACAAGGGAAGGGGGGGGGGATGTGGAAGGAAGGTAGGTAGAGGGGTGGTGGAGGGGTTGGGGGAGGGGGTGGGTGAAGGGAGGGGGTTTGAAAGGTTAAGGGGCATGGGGTTTGGGGAACAAGAGGGCTACAGTTTCCTTGAAGGGCTCATCATCGAGAGGCTTTTATCCCAATGATGATTGGGCTCTGGGAATAGTGGGGGGGGGGGAGGTTGGAGGGTAGAGAGGGGATAGGGGGTTGTTGGACGTGAATGGGGTCTAGAGTTTCCCTTAAAGGACTGAGGAGGTACATGTATACATTTTTCTTGAAGGGCTCATCATCGAGAGGCTTTTATCCAAATGATGATTGGGCTCTGGCAAGGGGGGGGGGGGGGGAAGGTTGGAGGGTAGAGGGGGAAGGGGGGTTGGAGGACGTGAATGGGGTCTGGAGTTTCCTTTAAAGGACTCGTCTTTCGAGTAATGACAATGGGGCTCTGGAAGCGGAGAAACGGGCACTGTGGAACGATGACAACTGCATGTGACCTGTTCTGTCAACAACGTTAGTGCTAAGCTACTGTGAGACACTTTGTAGTCATTACGTACGTACTGGTAATATGAGGAAGGGCGGGAGATCACAAACAGGTGGCTTTTTGATGCTTTGATGTTTTTCATTCTGTTGTGTTAACAAACTCCACAAGAGGATATTCATGCCTCTGAACTGTACAAAGTAACTGGGTGCCATTATACAAATACCAATATAACATGGGTTGAGGGTGGATAGTCGATATTAGCTCCCCGAGGTATTCGAAGTTGCCGGGTCGTCTTACATGTAAACACTTTTCCAGTGTCACATGAAATTTGGACTCCTATGAAATCCGGTGCCCTATACCGTTTTATTGGTTGAACATTCACAATCCTCATGTTGGCATGCACAATACTAACAGTGAGTCTGTATTACATACATGTAGTCCTAAATTCACAATACACCGGCACAGCTGCGTTCTGCGCCACATCGCATCACGCTCACATCGCATCACGCTCCAATCTCCATATGAGGAGTTGTTTGCGACTTCTTGCGAGAGGCACATACCAAAAAATAGCTAGAGGGGTGTTTAAAAAAAAACATGAAGTAAATATTATCGTTGGAAATTTATAATTTCTGACTTGTTTTGACTTTTGGACCGAAAGGTTTTGAGTTTTTGACCGAAAAGGTATTTATGAATGGGAATAAATACGTGCTTGTCGGGTATTAAACACTATGTTTCAGACCGGTCTGGATGCTGATAATTACCCTTAACCTTCATTACATTTTTTTCAATGCTGCAAAGCTTCATGATCCATAACATTCCACATATTGAATCCATTATTATCGGGCGTTTTCAAGTAGCAAATACTTGCCCGGCTCTCGGTTTCATTTCAGAACCACCCCAAGCATGGCAAATGATTGCTTCTTCTGCCGAGGAGAGACCTCCACGAAGATGGAAATTGATGACAGACAGTCGTTGAAATCAATACCGTGTCAGAAACCAGAAGAGACATGAAAGCCGGCGAGGGCTTTATAAATTGCGCGTTGGACGCCGAGCGATTTGAAGTGGCAGCCGAGCGTGGCGGAAGGAAACATTCAGGGAGCAATTGATAGGGGGAATAGCTGGAGAAGACAATGTCAGATGGCAATAAGAGCGTATAGAGCAAGAGACACAAATGAGATGGTACAGGTGGAAAATGAGCAGTGGGCGACTTTTGTCAGTGTTTTTAATTCCCCAGCTCAAACATGCTTCGCCACACAGAAAAGGAAACTTGCAATATAGATGCAACATGATACAGTATGTCCCCCAAAAAGTTCGTCTAAATATATTTAAAGGGAATATACATCATTTGCTTTTGCTGTAATTTTCAGAAATGGATGGAATTGGGGGGTTGGAAATATATAGCAAATATAGTTACACTGACTTTTTTTGAGGTTTTGGGTTCGAAAATGCTATAAAAACCAAGAAAAACAATCATTTTCCTGTAGTCTGGTTCCCTGACTCCATTTAAGAAGAAACAGAGCAGTTTACATACATTGGGGAATTGTAAGGTCAGGGAACCAGTCTAGCTGGCTTGTACCCGTTCATAGGTGTGTAATCGATTGCAAACAAGTGCGATGGTCAATTGGGGCCAGTATTTGAAAAAAAGCCAGTTTTTTCCAACGCTGGTCGGCCGACTTGCGTTGGAAATTGATAGAAAAATACCACTTTTCTTGAAAATGACAGTATACATGTACCAGGTGCCATGATTTTACAGGATGCTTTACACTGTCATTCACTAACAGTCCAGCAAGGTATTTCAAAATGATTTGGTAGTTTAATTTTTTGATGTTTGCAAATGTTGTATTTTCCCTTTAAAATAACAACATAACCAAGTACATTTTGAAAATGTTCATTGTGCAGATATACCTAATCCTTGGCATCAACCTGTGAGTTCTATTTAATTTTGCCTCACTGCACAATGGTCAATTAAACACAACAACTTTCTTGGACACTGAGACCAAGTTCCTTGGCATTAATCAATTTCAGTGCTTTGTCATGTACACTACCGGTATGTAATATCCTTCAAGTTGTAAACAAGGGCTGCGGTTGGGGATTGGAATCATTTGCATGGCTATCAGGTATCAGTAATCATGGCAAGACTTCGGGTTAATGCTCAAGGGCAAATGGTGACTGATAGCAAGGCAAAATTGATTCTAATAATTCCCAACCACAGAGTCGTGTTGTGTTCAATTGACCATTGTGCAGTCAGGCGTGATGGAATTTAAATGAAACTCGTTGGGGTTTAGGTCAAGGATTAGGAGTAAATGAAACTCATAGGGGTTTAGGCCAAGGATTAGGAGTATCTGCACAATTAACACATTTCAAATTTTACTTCTTGGTTTAGTTGTTATTTCAAAAATATTTAGACGGAAAATTTTTTGGGGACATACTGTATATAGTAGTCTCCCTTAAAGGGAATATACATGATTGGCTTTTGCTGTAATTTTCAGAAATGAACTATTTGAGGGGTTAGTATAATAGATCAAATATTGTTAGACTGACATGTTTGAAGGTTTGTGTTTGAAATGCTGGGGGAAAAAAGGTTCAAGTAGTCTGGTTCCCTGACTCCACTAAATATAAAATGGATCAATTTACAGATGCCGGAAAATTGTAAGGTAATGGAACCAGTCTAGCCGGCCTGCACCCGTTCATGAACATGTAACCAATAGCAAACAAATTTGGACTGAAAGAAAAATGGTTAATTTGGAGCAGTAGTTGAAAATAGTTAGGTTTTTCCAACGGTGGTCAGCCGACCACCGTTGGAAATTTTTACAAAAATACCATTTTCTTGAAAATGACTTCACACCAGGTGCCATAATTTTACAGGATGCTTTAGACTGTCATTTACCAACATCCTAGTAAAGTATTTCGTAAAAACTAGGTAGTTTTATTTTTCGATGTTTGCAAATGTTGTATATTCCCTTTAACATGGTGCACTTTGACATTTCCCCTGACTTTCCTCATGCAGTGTTGCCAAACCTCTTCGTTGACAATCTTTGAATTCTTTTTAGTTTGAATACTGGTACTATTATCTTAATAATGCTTGCTGTTTTTTTAGTGTTGTGAAATTGAGTTGAAATTCAAAACCGGTGGCATCTGGAAATACAAATTCTGAGAATATGGTAACAGCTGATGCAAAGAGATTTTGCTTATTGTTAGTATATCTGAATGGTTTTCCTCTTTTTCGGGGGGGGGGGGGGTTGCACTACTCACATGAGAAAAATCCAAGCTAACGACAGGTTTTCATGTATATTGTTTGTAAATTACTTTGCAATAATACTTGCGGCCAAGTCCACTTCAGTCTTTTTTTTAACATAATAACATTTGTGGAGTGCCGTGGCCTAGTCTGGAGCATTAAATTTGTGGTCTGCAGGTAATTCTGCAGGTTGTGGGTTTGAGTCCACCCTGAGGTCATGGTGCGTGTGCCCTTGGGCAAGGCACTTTGTCACTCATTGCTTCTCTCCACCCAGGAGTAAATGGGTACCTGTGAGGGCAGAGATGGTTATTGTGATTGATTGTAGCTGCTTTGCGCAAAAATGGCAGCATCAAGCTGTATACTCCCCAGGGAGCTGAGATTGTCTTTGGAATGTTTCATTGGCCCAATCAGAAGGGTAATAATGATGTAGTGCCCTCAGAACACTGCTGGATACGTGCACTTTATAAAAACACATTATTACTATAAAGTCTGGTTTGCTTATAATTCTTTCCCAGAACTTACTTGTCTCTGAAGACCTGGTAAGGTTGCACGATGAGATCCTTGTTCTCTTTACGCAGCGCAGCCCGCAGCTCAGCATGGGGTATGGCGTAACTCTTCTGGGTCTTGTACAGCTCCTCAAAGTCTTGATTGAAGCCCTGGGAAGAAGGTGGAGGGAGGATATACAGTTACTTTTACATGACGAGTATTTCCTTGTACCCACAGCAATATCCCAAAGGAGCTGGTACAAGCTAGTGTTCTTTGATTGCTCATTGGACAGATATTTGTCTACCTGGTGCCCCGTTTTCAATTGTGTGAACAGCTTCTTTGGGTGTAGGGATACATTTGGCAATATTTGGTTGCAGACCGCTAAATAGGCCAAAGATTGCCTACGGCGACCAAATCACCATTTGTATATCATCATCAGTCTGCATAGATCGTTCCCAGATCTGAACTGGTTTTAGAACTTGCATTATGAAAATTCATTTGGGATGAAATTTGACCTGAAATTGTTCTACAGGGTGACCTAAAAAAAATGCAACTCTAAAACACTTGCCTTTAAAAAAAATGGGATCCATAGATTTTTTGTTTTGGTATCAGATTAAAGCTGAGGGCTTTTTCTTTCAAATACTGAAAAAAACATGAAAATAGCACTTTGGGTTGCTGAGAAAATGCTGATTATGTAAAAGTAGTCATTTTTCATCTTGTACACAAGTCTTTCAAAAAGGGAAACAGTTTACTGTAAGCCTACTGTGCAATTATCCTTCATTTGTGCAATTTCTTTAATACTTTGACATATTTATGATGCACAAAAGGTTTAAAATAGCGCTAAAAAGGAAGATATACCTGTTCAGGTGGAAAATCAAAGGTGTTTCCATCAAATTCATTTGTACTCTTGTCATATTATGTGCTGTGTTGTTTGTAAGGATTAGGACATGCACAAATAGGTACAGTGAAAATCCCTTACTGTGTTTTTTTTATGTGTACAGGATGAAAAATGACTACTTTTACATAATTGGCATTTTTTCGGCAACCCAAAGTGCTATTTTCATGATTTTTCAGTATTTGAAAGAAAAAACTGATACCCAAATCATAAAAATCCACCGATCAAATGTTTTAGGGTTGCATGTTTTTTTAGTCACCCTGTATTTTGCAATGAACTGGAGAGATCATTGATCAATTGACGATGGGTTTGTACGGACAACTTTCCGGGGTAATCATCTTTGACAGTGAGGCTTTTCATTATTGGAGCCTACTTCAGTTTATTTACTGGTCTGCATCCATGTGAAATATACACATGTATGGATAATCCATTCTTCCTAACAGAAATTGTGCACATCATGGCTCGGCTCTGTCCACCTTTTATTTTATTCAAAATAGCTTTTAAAAATGGAACACGGCCTGCACTGTGCAAATCCAGTCCATTTGCCATTTCGGTTGTATGATGGTTGGAAGCTACAATGCATGATCATGCAATGGCAGATGACATGCTTATGACTTGTATTATTATTTTGTTTTTCCTGTCAAAAGAATCCTGTCATGAAGTGAAAAATGACAAATCCCTTTGCAAAATTCGTTTACCATTTTTTTTTTTTTTTTACAAACAATGTGTTTTTTTTGCTGAAATTTGCTGATAATATAATTAACTGTTTTTAGAGAATGTATTAAATCAAAATTGCCAGCGACATTTTGCAGACTGTTCTAGCTGAAATTATTCCTAAGATATGAACAAAATCTGTTTTATATCATTTGAAAACAACAATTAAGAGAAAAAAAATAAATACAAAATTAAAACAGGTTGTCCTGACAATTGGCAATTTAAAAAAAAATAATAATTTGGGAGGGGGGCATTCTCCTGCAAAATAATCATCCATAGAAAAATACTCTGAATAAATAACAGGTTCTGCAAATTTGCACAGGATTGCCACAGACCAAACTTTCCAATGATTAATTGGAAAAACGCTGCAGGCATTTACTAAATGTTGAGATGAAACGCCCTTGTTTAAATATAATTATTAAAGACCAAATGTTAACATTAGTGGGTTAAGACGGAAGATACAAGTGATGGGGGAAATGTCATGTAGTTGGTGAGTAAACATGAAATGTACGACTCAAATATTTATAAACTAGTCCAATTCCAAACACAACTTTCATTAAATGGGGACTCAAATTAGGTAATAAATGTGTGCTTGGTCGGTATTAAACACTACATTTAAGACAGTTGGAGTCTGAATGTTAATAATTACCCGAGGGTAATACCGACCAAGTACATAGTGTTTAATGCTGACCCAGCACATATTTATTCCCATTCATAAATACCTTTTCTGTAAACAAACAAAAAATTCGGTCCAAAAGTCAAAACAAGTCAAAAATTCAAAATTTCAAACAATTTTGTTTCACAATTTCACTTCATTTTTTTTAAACACCCCTCTAGCTACATAGTGGAGTGTCCATTGAGTAGGACGTAAACTACTCCTTATGGAGATTGGCAAGCGCGAACTGCACGATGTCGCCGAGTGCATTGTGAATTTAGGACAATGAAATACCGACTCACTGGAAGTATTGCGCATGCCTACGCGAGGATTGTGAACGTTCAACCAATAAAACGGTAAAAGGCACTGGATTTCACAGGAGTCCAAATTTCATGTGACACTAGAAAATGTTAAAAAGACAGGCTAGCCAAGTCTTTATCATCCATGTGAGAACGACCACTTGACGGGCTCTCGACTACTGGGAATGGGTAAACTGTCTGAGGTATTGTTGAATCATTCTTTTTTGTCTGCCAGAAAAATACTCTGGAGCTTAATTCTTTTGACATATTCTACTTCTTATCTCCTTCTGCATCAAAAGAAATCTGTTGGCAGTAAATTGTTTTGCATTTTGGACAGGGGAAAGAGTTGGCTGGGGAATGTACAGCAAGTGGGTTTGAAACGAGCGAGAGTATAGTATGCAAATAATGAATATTTACGATACAATGTTAAGAATAATTTCGTGAGGTGACTGATGGACTGTTCCAATCAAACCTTACGTACAACCCCAGCTTGGGGATTCAAAGTGGTTTAATGCCCTTGAGCAAGACACTTTACTCCATTTCTTCTGATCTTCCCAAGCAACAGCAAGTGAGTATAAGTGAAGTCATCCATGTTGGTATTCACACCAACAGGACATTACAATCCAAAATACCCCCACAGGTTACATATTGTAACGGACAGTCTATGCACACTTTTGTTGTCATTGCTTTCTAGCACTAGCGCTCCGGCGGAGGGGCTCCGGCAGCGCGCACCTGACCTGGATTTGGGTCTGGCTGGCGCGCGCTCCGGAAATAGGCTCTACAAATAGGTTGGCTAAGTGGGGTTCTTTTGTTCAATTGCGCGGGAAGAACTTGGCTGGATTTCCAGGGTTGGGTAAAGTTGCTACATTTGTATACATTTGTTCAGATTGTGTGCATGTCTATGCTGGGAATTGATCAGTTGCAGTTCTTATAGCGGTGCGGCAAGTTGCCCGCAGAGTCCGCTTGGCGAAATAAATGAGATCTTCCTTCAGAGTTAGAAATCCTGTCTGTCTGTCCCCTTTTCTTGCGTTTGGCCGGATTTGGCGGACAAGAGCCCAGTAGGATCCCGCTACAATATCATGGAATGAAGGTTTGAGGAATTATAATCCCACAGATCAGGGGTAAAAACAATTGCGAACCTCCGGAACCTTGCAGTGACTGCATCATATTGTACGGCCCAGAGTATGCAACCACCGCTCATTAGGCATGCATTGTGCAAGCATCGTTGCACTCATGATGGGAGCACAACCTGGTCCAATCAAACACAGTCCAACCCCACATTGGGGATTCAAGGTGGTTTATTATGTCCTTGGGCAAGACGTTTTGCTCCAATTCTTCTGATTTTCCCATTCAGCATCAAGTGGGTATTAACTGCAATGGTTATGATTTGAGCACTTGCCATCACAGCCAAAGGAGGAACCTACAACCACTAACACTTAAACAAGTCACATATCAAGGCATCAAGGTTTGAGGAATTATAAGCCCACTGATCAGGGGTAATAACAATTGCAGACCTCTCAGAATCTTTTAGTGACTGCAATATGTTTGTTTCCATGGCCAAGTTTAGGTGACCACCCTTGATTAAGCATGTGCCATGCATGCATCCCTGCACTATCTGGTTCCAATCAAACCGAGTACAACCTGAGCTCCCTGCCCCTGGCTTTAATGAGTGCGTTTGATCCCCCCCCCTGCTTACTCGTGCAAGCGTGGCAGCGTTCGATTGACCTCTCACGTGACTTCTCACGCTTACTCAAGTCTGGCCCAAGTAACGACTCGCCGAGCCAGTTACTCGGGTAAGTTTCCCATAAGGCCATGCAATAAACATGGCTGCCAACGTGACGTCCGGCGGGTGCCTCAGACCGTGTCCAATACGGGCGAAAAAAATGTTGCAACCTGACGCCACTTTTTTCTTCATATATCATCTCAATCAAGGTCATTCATTGCAAAAATGACGATAATGAGAAACTTTTCCAATTTTGTTAGGAAATACTTTTAAAAAAATTCTTGACTCTCCATAGACTTTGTACACAAACCGCTGAAGTGGCGTCAGGTTGCGACATTTTTTCCGAAACAGGCTTCCAGAGCTACGGCTACGTCTATTGTCAGCGCGGACCCGTGTATTTTCAATGGGCGTGGACCTAGACCTAGCTCTAGACACTTGATTCGGATGCATCCTGTGATATGTCCAAGTTCAACTTTCAAACTCTTGCACGAAACTTTCCCCGAAATCGTTCGTCCATTTAGCTCCACTGCGCATGTCTGTCATTACGCGAGGAGCCAGGCGGGAGTAAGCTGGGGGAAGTAATCGAACGCACTCAATATAAATGTATTCAAGGTGGTTTATGTCCTTGGGCAAGACGTTTTACTCCAATACTTTAGATCTTCCCATTCGGGATCCAGTGAGTAACTATAAGAGAAGTGGTTATACTCATTTTGTTAATCACAGCCAAAGACAACTACAATCAATACTGCCACATGTCATGGCATCAAGGTTTGAAGAATTATAAGCCCATGGATCAGGAGAAAAAAAACAAATCGCAACACTCTCACAAATCTTTTATTGACTGCATCATGTCATTCCAGGGTCCAGTTTATGCGGCCACCGTTCATTAGGTATGCGTCGTGCATGCATCGATACCTCCAAGATGCAAGCACCATCTGCTCCAATCAAACCTGATGAATTCTGATGTTCTAATGAGGGGAGAATTCATCAACGGGAGCGCGCTTTAATGATCCGGAAGATGAAATGAGATATCTCCTTGTCAGGTTCCAGGGTCGTAAAAGGGGCAAATGTTAATTTTTTTTTTCATAAATGAAGCCTTGAGAATCTCTTCTGTAACAAGACTGCATATGCAAAGCTATTTATCGTCCCGTATATCGAGGCCCTCTTTTGGTCAAAAAGCACCTTAAGTTGTGCTTTTATTTTTGGGACTCGAGTTTTATTAGCCTTCGTTCGAGTCGAGTCGAGTCTTCTGATGAGGGACTCGAGTCGAGCCGAGTCATTTGCTTGCAGTGACTCGCGTCGAGTCGAGTCATTTACCCTTGGGGACTTGAGTCGAGTCGAGTCACCAAAAATTGTGACTCGAGTCGGACTCGAGTCGAGTCATTGACTCGAGTCATTACAACTCTGTCATGTCTGTGCAGTATATATGCATTTGTACGCAGTGTACCCGGTATATATGCATTTTTACAGACTGGTCACGTGACCATTCTAGACCAATGAAATTACAGCATTCAAGCACACGATATACAATTGACATTGAAATACATTAAACATTGTCACACATATGAAGAGTTATGTTTCTAAAATGCGCAGAACGCCATTTTGTTACTTTTTAGAATCCCGCTCTCTCGTGGCTGCCCAAAATACAATAAAGCAAGAAGCAGCTGTTATACCGTGTATGTTTGACACATTGTCATAACTGAGCATTTTTTCACTTTTTTAAAATGGATACATTGCATTTTGGGAAATAAAACTCTTCATATATAATACAATTCAATTATAGGAAAAACAATGGAATTTTAAATAATGTTGTTTTTGCTATGGTTCCCAAAACAGAATGGCATTTATTAATGTAAAATGTGTTTTTTCATGCATGCAGAAATGGACTGAATTTGATGGGTTCTGGATTGAGATGAGCTTCTTAGCAATACTGTTTTTTCCTCAAACCACATAAATACATAAATCACTAATTAAATTAAAAGCCCAACAAACCAATTAAAATACTGCTAAAGTAATAATGTTGTAATTAAATGCACAGGGGCTTTGCATGTAAATGTATGAAAGGAAAATCGTATTTCTGTGTATTTATCATTACCATGATATGAGAATGCCAATGTTCTATGACAATTTCAGATGGTTCCATTTTGGCCATCCAAATGCCTGGATGCAAGATGAAACATTAAAAAATGCCCCTATAACCCCCTCCCCACCCCCACCCCCTCCAAAAAAAATGAAAAAGAAAAAGAAAAGAAAAGAGGTATGGGCACTTAAGCAACTATTTAAAAGTGAAATAAGGTCCATAAATTTAGCAATGTACCTAAGCAGGGGCGGATCCAGGAACTTTTGCAGGGGGGTCAGACCCGTCAGATTTTGTTATATTGTTGCGGACAGGCAGACATAATTATAGGTAATGCTTTTTTGATTATTACAATAATTGTTATAATTTTGCGTGTGTGTCTCAGAGATCAGAGAGGACCGGGGGGGGGGGGGGGGGGGGGGGTGGTGTTTTGACCCCCCAACCCCCCTCTGGATCCGCACCTGTATAAATGAAATGAGAGGCGAAGTAAAATAACACCAATAACAGGTGTTTATTGGGTGGGTGGGTTGGTAAAATCTTTTTTTTTTCTTTGCTCTAAATTTTTATAACCAGAACAAAACTGAGAGGGACGATGGTCGGTTAATTTTTCAACTTCTTGTTGTTGCATGCATTCTCAAAACAGTAAACATGAATTATCTGCTCATTTTTCATTTGGTCCATTGTTTATATGATTCTCTACACGGTGCGGCAAGACCGCATTGCCGACAAACTTAAAAGCTGCACTAAGAATTTCAAAAACATACAGGACAATGTCAGCAAATACTAAATCTTTACATGTTAAAAAGATTTAGGTTCCGCATAATTTTCTAGGTTGGGTAGGGTAATAGGAAACACAGGTTGTTTTTTTCTTGGCCAAGTCTAAAACTAAACCCTGAAACCAGGACTTATGAACAGCAGTCCCCTCTGCTGTGCTTTAAAATTTCTAAACTGTTAATCCTCATTTTTTTTTATTCTTCAGGCCCTCAAGAATTTGACTCCTCAAATTTCACTTTTTTGTTTTCATCCCAAAAACCCTGTTCAGAAAGCTACCCTTGACCGTAAAAAACTACGCAGCTGGAGCGGCTGATATTACAAAGTTCCGGTCAAGCTGAACGGTCATAAAAAGGCCAACCGTGTCCGAAATGCAATATCCATGATCTCAATGTCAATTTATATCTTTAATTGAGGAAAGGAAGGGGGGGGGGGTTGCAGGACAATAAGACCTTCAAAACACACAGCTGTATCGGCTGAGTTTACAAATATGCAACCATGCCTAACGGTCATAAACAAGGCCAACCATGTCCGAAATGCAATATACAGTCTGAATGTCAATCTTTAACTGAGTGTTGGGAAGGGGGGGGGGGGGGGGGACGCGCAGGACAATAACAAACTCCAAAAACCGTGACTGCGGTCACGTCGGACACCTGCAGTGAAACCGTCTGACACCTGCAGTGAAACCGACTCGGGACATCTCTCTCTTACAATCTAATTACATCTTCTTTATCCAGGACGACGTCTTGTTGGGGTCTGCTATCCTGAGTAGTAAATTACAATGGACACGGTGGCAAACCAGGACTTTTCATAAGAATGGAGGGTGCTGGGGTGCTTTTACATCCAGAATTTTTCTGGATGTAAAAGCTTTTTCAAGTGGGGACAGTTATTCCGATATGGACAGTGGCGCACCCAAGATTTGAACGTGGTTATATGTATGTGGCCTATTTTCGAGTAGTATAATAGGGGTGTAAATGGCGCCACCAACGTCAAAATAGCCCCCCCCCCCCAAAAAAAAAAAAAAACACCCAATTTTTTTCTGCGGCCAAAAATTTTGGGCAACATTTTTGAAAAAAATATAATTTCTAAAAAAAAAAATTGATTTTTAGAATAATGAATTAATTTTTTTTAATACTACGGGGTGGTTCACCACTATGGTGGTTTGTCATATCCTATATCCACCCATGAAGGAACAAAAATGGTAAATACGTGTAAGGAGCAATGGCAATTTACAGAAACAGGGTACTCCGAAATCCACCCTCCAACCAAAATAGTCTGGGTCGCACGTGCTTGTCAATACTCCTTCAGCTCAATTTCTGTCTGAAGGACACAATTTCTGTCTGAAGGACATGGCCCTTAACCCCTTTTTAGTGATCGAAGTGGCTAGAACTGTGCAGGGCTCAATTATGCATGACTTAACATAAACAATGCAGGGTACAGCCTACCAGTACATGTACGAACTCGACACAATACATTCTCCAAAATCAACCAACACTTTTTTGCCATTCGAGCCTCAATCCTCCAAAATCCTCCAAAAATTGGCCCGGAGGATTTCGGAGGATTGAGAAGGGTTGGGTTTAATCTTTGAAAAAGATTCTCTTAGGATCCTATCGTCTGGCTCCCTAGCTTCTCACCCTTTTAAAAAATCCAAACCCCACCCACCACCCACAGTGACTAAGGCTTGGCAAGTGTGAGGAAAAAAGCAGTGCAATAAAACGGGATGAATTATTTGCAGATTTTCTTGCTTGTCTCTTCCTAACTCAAGTGCGCTGGATTTAGAGGGGGAAAAAGGCAGCACTGCTTTACATGATTGATTTGTGCAAAATTGCTGAAATGAAAACGGCACCTGCTGTGGTGTGGTGGGGGGAAATGGTTAGTATATTTGAATAAGAAAATGAGTTAGTAACAAAATCGTAAGGATATCTGCCGTCAATGATTGCTAAAATCATGTATGCTCATCAGCTTAACCATCAAAGGGCATTGTTTTTTTCTCACAGTCTCTCCCACAGCACCGTGTATACAATGCCAGTTTGAAAATGATTGAAGTGCAGATGAATTTTATATGGGAGCATTTGATTTTGCGTATTGGTGAGGCGGGAAGTGGGGAGGGGGCGGCGTTTTGTTGAAGGTGGCCGGGCATGATGACCTGTGATGAGAGTGACCTCTTAACCTCTGACCTTGAATATGTCCTTGATCTGCTGCCGCTCCTTTTTGTCCTTCACCTTATAGGTGAATTGCTCCTGGCAGATCATGGGGTCGTAATACCAAAGTGTTAACAGCAAAGGTTATTATTTACAACAGGGAGTTGGGCTCCGTGCACAAGAACCCCTCAACGGTCCAAAGAGAGAGTTGAGGGAGACCACTGGGAGAAACATTTCGTTGCCGACACCACGAACTGACGTTCAGGTGCACGCGAGTGCCTGGCACGCGGGCGTATTTTGCAGAACCGCATTATTTCGTTTTCACGAACTGACACCCAGCACAGTGCGGCACTTCATGTACGCACTCCATAAATTTCCGTTTTCATTAACTGACACTGATCTTAATTTCACCATTAAAAAAGAATTTTCAATCAAATTTTTGTGTAAGCCCACAAGCTTACGGATGGATATAATTCGTGTCAAACCTTTCAAAGCGTTTTTCTCCGTTTTGTATTTATACTACAACACGCTTGCTATCAGTTCCTGAAAACGAAAACTGTTCTATTACGCTTCAGTGTCTGATGTGCGTGCGCACACACCCAGGTGTCAGTTCGTGAAACCGAAATTGTTGATTATGCGGTTTTCACGAACTGACATCCACTGGCACGTGAGTGTCGGTTTGGTGCCGGTGACGATTTGAAGGCACTGCTGATGGCGCCTGACAGTCACGTGAATACACTATTTGTTTGTGCACATTCAAAATAAAATGAGTCATGCATACATGTACCTCGCGCCATATGTGCGCGAACCAGTATGCGTACAGAGTGCGTCCCTCCAACAGGAGCTATCAAAAGCGGAAAAGCTTGTGATCTACAGTTCATGCATGAGGTCCATTTTCAATTTGGACCCACACCACATGGACTACATGTGCAGAGTCATGCCCCCAACAAGGGCTTAGACTAGTGCAAAGTCTTGAAAGCTATTGCCGCAGTAAAACTGCCGCCAGCAGCCATAGAAAGGACACTTTGCATTTTTGTACATACTCTGATGAGAATTTGTGCATACTACAAGCTTTACCCATGCAATCCAGCTAATAACGTCCATAGAAGAATGCATACATACAGGGTGAGTCAAACAAAACGAAACCCAAATGTCGGGACCATTGTTTGATTAAAGTTCTGCATGTAGCAGTTTCAAAATCTTGGATATGAAAGCCCAATTCATAAGCTTTCTCTTAGTACAAGAATCATTGAAATCACTTATGTACTTTTCAAGTTAAGGAGTTTTAAACACAACCACCGTTTTAAAGTTCTGTCCATGGATCACAAAAAAGATGTGCATTCTTTCAGCAAACAATTCACACACATCCTTATGCGATTTGTTTTCGTTTTGCTGAAAGAACACTGAACTTTTTGTGATACATGGACAGAACCTTAAAACGGCGGTTGTATTCAAAGCTCCGTAACTTAAAAAGTGCATAAGTGATTTGAATGATTCTTGTACTAAAAAAAAGCTCATGAATTGGGCTTTCATATCCTAGATTCTGAAAGTGCTACATGCAGAACTTCATTAAAACAATAGTCCCGACATTTGGGTTTCGTTGGGTTTTTTTACTCACCCTATATGAGAGTAATTTTTAAAGAAAGATGATTAGTGTCCAGTGCGTCCAAACACGAAACAGTGAATAAAGAGAGAAACGTATGAAAATTTGCATTAAAGACAATGAAAAGTTAGAATCTTTCCAATTTTTTCCAGCCGTTTCCTTGCGTTTAAGAAAAAACTTGAAAGGAAGTGAACTCCACAGAGGAACAGAAGGGGTACATGCAATGAAATGCATGACAGGCTTTTATCTTTCAAGATGGTATGCACACACTCAATGCTCATTTTGATGGTTTTTTCTATTTAAGTGACCAACTTGCGTCTACAAAAGCCAATCACAAATGTTTACCTCAATCAGAAGCCTTACTGTAGTGGAACCATGCTTGCACGAAGGTTGTATATGCGCATTTAATGGTCCTTTACCAACAGGGTTATCAAAATGTGCCTTTGACTATAAGAATTGGTGTGACACAGGTCAGGTTACTTTCCTCGCCTTCCACCGCTGTGACCCAGGTGCGATTCCTGCCTGGGCCAATATGCGGATTGGGGTTTCACTCCCTACCTGATTCCGTGGGTTTTCCTCAGAATATTCTCCTAGGTTCCCCCCCCCCTCCCCACATCTAAAACTGTCATTTCTTCACACTGTCTTCTCTTTACTGGTCCCCATGGCCCAACCAATGCAAGCTTGGATCCGCCTCAGTAATGACTTAGAAATTTTGTTCCCGGGTTTATACAATTAAATACTCTTTGGGCCTGTTTGTTTCGCAAAGATCTTGATCCGGATCCAGGATCCGGATCCGGGATCCGTTCGTTTGTTTTGTTCGGATCCTGATCTGGATCTGGATCACAGATCTCTGGGATCCTTCTTGAGAGGTAGATCAGTGCAAAATTCAAAATTCAACTGTCTCCATGTTTACTTTTGGCTAGTGGTGTGGCCTAATAAGATCGGAATCAGGTGCAGTTTTGTTTGTTATAGCGCAGAACTGGTTCCAAGGATCCGATTTTGGATCCGTACCCAAACAAACACACCCCAAGCATGACGGTCTCATTTTCACAGAATTCAAACTCTAGAAGATTGATTTGAATCGAGTCACTCTCCTTCTTACCTTGAATTTGTCTTTGATCTGTTGCCTCTCTTTATCCTTTAGTTTAGCCGCCTCCAGGGCCATGCGCTGAGATGACATGGGCTTGTTTGTCTCAAGGATGTGGGACAAGACTTTGTTCCAACTGAAACAGAAAGAAGAGAAATAAGTAAGATTTCAAGCTACTCATGCCAGCAGAAAAAAGAAAGAATCATACTTTAATAACCTAATCAGGCTTGGGTGAAGACTTGTCATAAACTCCATCAATTTCAATTCAACAACATCTACTTCCAATTTCTAATTTACCAATTACAGGACACACACAATTGTTGCATGTAAATGGTCATACTAAGGGAATAAATGTGTGCTCTGGAAGTTTTTATCACTCTGTTTAAGACCACTTAGAGTCTGGGTGCTGATAATTACCCGAGCCGGAGGCGAGGGTAATTATCAGCACCCAGACTCTAAGTGGTCTTAAACAGAGTGATAAATACCGACTGAGCACATATTTATTCCCATTCATAAATACCTTTTTGGTAAAAAATATCAAATAATTCCTTCAAAAAATACCGATTTGTTCAACAAGTTCACTTCATGCTTTTTGAAACATCCCTCCAGCAAAATAATGGAGTGTTCAGCTGGCGAGTAAGATGTAAACAGCCCTTTTATGGAGATTGACCCGCGCTGGTATGTTCTGAGCGATGTCGCGCAGAACGCACCTGGCGCGTTGCGTTTTGAATTTAGAACTATAAAATTCTGACTGGCTGGTAGTGTTGCGCATGCCTACGTGAGGATTGTGAACGTTCAACCAATGAAACGGTAAGAGGCACTGGATTTTTAGGGGTCTACATTTTTGCGACACTGGAAAAGTGTTTAAGACCAGCTAGCCATGTCTTTATCATCCGTTTAAGACCGGCCACGTGACGGGCTCTCGACCAATAGGAATGGCTAAACTGTCTGAGGTATTTATGAATACTTATTCAAAGTAACAAGTTTTCACTGTTTCCACAAAAAGAACCTTGTATTTTTAAATATTTTTTCTTAAATGGTTGAGTAAAATAATTCCTATTTCTGATAAATAATTTCGATTTTTCAAATTGTGTTTTCGCATACATTTCTACTCTAAAATTAAAAAATATATAACTGATGGGAGAGCCCAGTAGTTAAATAGCCCCCCCCCCCCAAAATGTCTGTTTTCATAAAATCATTTTTAATTAGCAGACATTATTACTACTAAAGATAATTGTCACTTCGTCAAAACGAAAATTCTACTTCGTCACACGTAATGTAGCATATGTTTGTACACAGCACGCGTGTATGTAAAATGTTCACATTTGAGAACGGAGACTCATCACTTCGTCAAAATGCAAAATTGTAGAGGCTATATAAATCTGAATATAGCACATGTGTAAAATCAATGAGACTAAGCACAAAATACAGATTCGTCACTTCGTCAAAACTGAGTTTGTCGCACATTAATTACTTTGTGTGATTAGCGTATTTTACAAACGATGGAATTTTGTGTCTCGAAATTTGGTAACCATGTAGAGGACATCATAAAATATTAGAATATCAAAAAATCTCAAGTTGCTTAAAATCTCAGTTTTGGATGGATTCATCACTTTGTCAAAACCGCGACGAATTGTATCAACTACAACAACTCTCAAACAAGTTGGTTCAAAGCTAAAGTAGCAGGCTGTACCAAAGTCTAAGTGAGCTTACAAACCAATCGTTACTCATACAGGTACAGCACCCGATTTCATCAAACTCTTCGTAACTTACGATGCATCGCAGCGCTGCGACGCATCGTATCTCTACGATGCGTCGCAGCTGCGATCCATTTCACGAAACACGTCGTAAGTGCGACGCGTCATAGGTGTATTTATAGCACAACTCGGTGACTGTTTATGTCTTTAGTCAGCGTACAGTAAATAGTCGTCTGACATTCAACAAAGAGTCGTCGGATCTCAGCTCGAAATTTGTTAAAACATAAAACAAAATGGCGGCTGTGCGATGCAATTTTGAAGGAAAACAAGCTCTCATTGGACTGTATAGCTACTTTGAAATTTCAACTCTAATATTCCGGTGTAATTCATAATTATTCAATGAATTTTCTATTTACAACTTTACACACATTGCATCGGTATTATAATCTCGTTAATGTAATGTTTGTGGCATAAAACTGGCTTAGAAATGACTCTTCATATTTTGCGATGACCACTAGACATGTCGTAACTTGCGACGTGTTTTAAGCCGTTGTCAAGGAACTTACGACGCGTTTAACACATCGCAACTTTCGTGAAATGGAAGATACGACGCGTCGCGAGTTGCGACGTGTTACACGTCGCAACTCGAGTTGCGACGGGTCGCAGCGCTTCGTGAAATCGGGTGCTGAGCTGTTTGCATGCATTTTGTTGTTACAAAAGACATTTGATTCTTTTCCAAAATGACAAACCTCTTTGAGTACTCCCTCTTTTGTTCTTTGATGATCTCAGCATAGTGAGACTCTATATCTGGCGTACTGATGATGACCAACTTCGTCAAATCGTACCTGCGGCATGAAAATGAAGACATGAGTAAGCAACATTCAACTATTCACACAATGAGCAATTTGTTGTAAGTGTTTAGACACAAAAACAGTCTAGGTTGCTGCATTTGAAAGTTGTTATGCAACGAATGTAAGCAAATTCAAAAGTCACTCTCAGCTTTTTTAGGTTAAAGGGAATGTACATCATTGGCTTTTGCTTTAATTTTCAGAAATGAACTATTTGAGGGGTTAGTATAATATATCAAATTATTGTTACACTGACATGTTTGAAGTTTTGTGTTGGAAAATGCTGGAAAAACTAAGAAAAACAAGAATGTTCGATAGTCTGGTTCCCTGACTCCACTGAAGATTAAATGGATTAATTTATAGATGCCGGAAAATTGTACGATAAGGGAACCAGTCTAGCTGGCCTGCACCCATTCAGAACATGCAACCAATAGCAAACAAAATTTGGACTGAAAAAAAAATGGTACATTTGGAGCAGTAGTTGAAAAATAGTTAGGTTTTTCCAACGGTGGTCGGCCGACCACCGTTGGAAATGTATACAAAAATACCATTTTCTTGAAAGTGACTTCACACCAGGTGCCAAAATTTTACAGAATGCTTTAGACTGTCATTTACCAACATCCTGTATTTCGTAAACACTTGGTAGTTTTATTTTTCGATGTTTGCAAATGTTGTATTTTCCCTTTAAGATGAACAGTAAGCAGGGGACGCAACATGATATGAGCAAAAACAAATCGTGACAACATACAACATTGATATTAGTTACGAAAGTTCAAGAAATTGGATTTTCTGGGGGAATGGATCTGTTTGTTCAAACAACTGAGTTCAGGCCTCATTCTTGCTCCAGGTTGCCACTTGCCAGAATCGCGTACCTTTCCAGTGATTTCAGGATGAAGTGGTAGTTGTTCAGCAGAAAGATGGCCCCCAGGTACTGGTCAGAGTAGGTCTTGGCCTTCTGGTCCAAGTTGAGACTCAGGGCTCCTAAGACCTTAGCTACACGAAGACAATGATAAACATGTTTGAAAATGTAAAGTGAAAACAATGAATCTGTACTCTGAACTGCGTTGACTCCTCATGTCGTGAATTGAAAAAAAAGTATGCAAGAAAGACAGATATTTGTCATCAAAATATCATTCAAATTTATAAAAACTTTTCCAGTGAACTGTGTTGAATTATTATGACTCAGATTGAACAAACATGTGGGAAAGATGAAAATATGTTTTCACAATAATAGTTACCAGATATTAAAACCTTTAATGTTTTGTTTACTGAGAACGATCAGCTTTTACAAATCATTAACTTAAAGGGCCCATGTAATGCAATGATTTTACGCAATCCTTGTAAATGCACCTTTGTATCCCATTTAACCTTATATTCAATTTTCATTTAAAGGTCATTTTGGTGCCTTTTTAAGTTTTTATGCTAATGCAAATATGCATATTCATGAGGAAAAGTGTGAGTCATTTTGGGCAGAAACCTCAAAACTGCTATTTCAGCACCAAAATCTGCCACAATTTTGGTTATTTTGCTGTCGTAAATTTTCTTTTCTTTGGTGATTCGTTGTTGTTTCAGTACATGACAGTAGGCCATGAGCAAACTTTTCTCACAAATGTTTTCAACTGGGTTCACAAATTGAACAGAAGACCTCTGAACTGAACAGTGTCTTCCCGAATTGACATCACAGCAACAGCGCCCTCATTTGTCAGGAAAAGTATGGACAATTTTAAACGTTTAAAGAAGTGCACTTTTCACTCAACTTAAGTAGTAGAAAGTTGCACAAAATATGTTTCCAAGTAAACTTAATGTCATGAACCCTTTAACCATCTGAGCAGCCACACGGTGATAAAATTCTCCACATTTTTCAAATATGGGCATATTTTTTTCAATGGGCCAATTAGGCCAAGCTTCCATGTAATCCTCACCCCTACTATACACCACAAACCTGTAGACTCCCATTGGCCAGACCCTAGTTACTCCGGAGTAAGGAGTGTTGAAAGACAGAAGCCAAGATGGCGGTTCATGCCTTTGTGCAGTACTTGGAGAATACAGTGGCGGCCAAACCCTTTGTGCCCCCGATCTCTTTGTGTCAACCCCTCGTGCCGCCCAGAGCTCAGACCGGTTGAAGACAATCCCTGACGATGTGAATGACCTATATCTTGTGCATGTTCAGGCATGCGGGGGTTATTGACCTAGAAACACATGTGGTGATAAAATTCTCCACGTGGCCACTCCGTGTGATATTTTTTGCTAAGCTGCTCCCAGGGTTAAATAAACCACAAAGAGAAGGTGGTGCGGTTTAATAACTGTAAACAAATATGAGGTTGATCAAAGAAACTAACTGGAGCGGGATTTGAATGTGCAATCTTGAGCACCTCGCAAAATTTGGAGGTAGGGGGGAAGTTGCTAAAGGTTCACATATCCATTTAAAAACTATACAAGAACTAAAAACAGAAGCAGGTTATAGTTCAATCTCATCCTGATTTGAGCCAACATTTCTGTTTAAAAGCGACTATTATCTTATTGTCTACTCACCAACATAATTTGACACTTGTCTCTTGTTGGCCTCTACGTCCGTCGTCTTGGCTGAATAGCCTTGGTCTGCAAAATCATAAAATACTATTAGCGCGAGTGGAGCACGGAACGGCCGAGTGGTATGTGTGAAGCCTCAAATGCATATAAACTAAGGTTAATGTCTTACATGTAAACCAAGATAACTCAGTACGATTTCAAACTATATTTACTGACCCCTGTGTGCCGTCAGCATAGCTGCAGTTGTATCGATGTAATCCAGGAAATGCTCCAGAAATGTCAGTGCCTAAATGAGAGAATTGATGAAAACAACTGAAAAATACATAATCCTAATTTGGGGGCTAATCATCCTTACTCGCAGCTGAGAAGCTGAATTGCGAAGGACGCGGCTACAACGTGGTCAAGCCGAAGGCATGTAAAGGTGACCACGGAGCACAGCCAGATTGAAAGTGTTGATTTTTGCAGGAGGAAAACCGGAGAGCTCGGAGAAAAACCCTTGTGGCACAGGAGAGAATCAACTAACAACTCTTCTCATGTATGGTCCGAGCTGGGAATTGAAACCGGGCCACATTAGTGAGAGACGAGCGCCTTACGCACTAGGCACCAGTGTCACCCAAAAACCATCTCAACAGTTTTTTTTTACTTTATTTTTTAGTATGATCAGAGAAGGCAATAGTGACTCTTTGAAAAGATGGAGGAGGCTTCCCAGTGCTACTAGAGTCCCCCTGATACAAATTTTTTTTTCTAGGTAACTTTACAGTAAGGACTTACATTGCTGGTCAGCTCATGAACTGTGCCGTCCCTGGGCATGTTGGACTTGTCTGGATCGTTCTGAAATAAAAAAAAACAACAATTTTAATTTTTTTTTTAAAACAAGCCAACATATAGGGATTCGCAATACGGTGCATTGTCAAGTGTTTGCCTTCAACAGGCCACTTTTAAACTTCATAGTTGACTTTATCATCTTTTTCAATCACCCAACTTCACTGTTTACATGCAACACCACACAACACAAGAATACCAGACACAAAACACAAGAATTCTAATTTAAATCACACGATCAGTGTAAAAAGTGAGCCCTTGTTATCAAGTTTAAAAAAAACCAGCATTCGGTATAGTCTACAAATGGATTTCAACTGTATTCAATGATACACTCTGGGTAAAGCAGGCTTTGTGACTGTCATTGCCTATTACCGCTTAACCAGTTAACGCCGGAGGACATGTAAACACAATCCGGCAATGTTTATACGCAGGGGCGGTAACAGACTAAATCATCAAGCTTTCCCCTAGTCTCCGGCGGTGGACGTGTATACACGTCAGTGGTTCCCATTGGTTACAAACACACCGTGTTTTTGAATTTGAACTTGGCTGCTGTACACGGCCTGTCATTGAAGCAAACATCACTCCGTGGCAGGACCCCAGAGTATTGCAAAATGTGAAGTTACGATGAGAAGTATCCCACAAATATTGTACAAATGACTCTCAAGAGTCAGTACTTGTGGTGTTTGACGTAATGTTAAAATTTGGCTGATATTTCTTGTCTTTTTCAAAAATGGTGTTTTTCACTATCACTCATAAGAGATTTTCTATATTAAATGACAAGAAATGCTAAAACATACCTTGACGACGTCAAAGAACTCCTCCAGTGCTTTGGCTCCAGTGGTCTCCAGGCTAGCAATCAGGGTGGGGAGTTTGGAACGCGTAGTTGGTGTCGTTCCCTAGGACAAGTAACAGAACAAAGATACAGGTTTACATGTATGTCTTCTGACTAGAGCCCCTTGAACAGGACCTCGGGCTGATCATTTCTGTTTGTAGTTTATTCGATGACATCAAACAAAATCTTCAAGATGTCCCAAATCGCCATTTCAAAGTTTATGAAAACAGCTCAGTTCATAAGAGCATCTGCAGCACCAGTGCTGTTTTCGTGACATTGCAGGTTCGAACTCGTCTGGTGTAAAAAAAAACAATGAGCCCAATCAGTTTTTTTGATTGTGGTTTATTTGATTTTTTGTTAACAATTCATGAGCCTTACTTGAAGCGTCTCCTCAAACTCTGGTCTGATCTGGCTGAGATGTTTGGCGACGGGAAACACGGTCAGGACAGCCGTGTAGTCGTGCTTCAGCACCGCCCTCTTGGCAGCTGACGATATTGCCTGGATAGGGAATATTATTGACCAAGTTTAGAATGAGAATGTGCGAAAACAAGCTTGAAATGATCTCGGAAGCTACAGCAATTGAGTTTGTGTTCCTAACTGTGTACCTTCTGCCTAGTCTGTATGAGATAGATGGCGCTCTTGCATCTACATGTCTCTGGCATTGAAATAAAGGATTTCCCATTTGTTGGACGTCACATGCAAACTTGACCTCGATAATGCAAGTCCATCTGCCCTCTCTTGAGGGCCATAAACCTGGCACTGGGCCTCTAGCAGGAGCTGGCTAAGGTGAGTTATAGTGCACAGGCGCGCATTCCAACGTTTGTTACTAACTAACTAACCTACGGACTAATGGAGCGACATGAGCACGTGTAGAGCTGCTTTCCGCAGCTAAAAATAGTAAAGCAAAGTTCACATGCAAAGTTTGGGCTCACAGTTTGATCAGAAAACCCCCTAAACTGAACAGTGTCTTCCTGAAATGACATCAAAGCAACAGCACCCTTAGTTGAAAATTGAAAACTGAAAATGTTTAAAGAAGTGCACTTTTCATTAAAATTAACCAAAAAGGGATGTCAAATAGTTTTCATACATTTAAGATGATTAGCAAGTTGCACAAAATGTGTTCCTGATAAAAATTCATCTCATGACCTTCAAAGTTTTTGCTGTGAGCTCTGTGTTAAGCAACAACGGGACAAGAACAGCACAGTAGAGCTCAAATACACTAACCAAGCTAGAGTACAAAAAATGGCAGCGGTTTGGCACTCACCTCTCCATCTTGGAAGATCATTGTCATTGCTTTCTCAGTGATCTTATCGAAGGTCTTGCGCTGATGCTCGCCGGGGATGATGCCAGTCATGATCAGAGCTTCACTCTGGAGTAGACAGAAGAATAATAACTATATAAATAAATACAGAATTGTAATCATGACCCTGATGTCTGAGCAAGAGACTGACAAACAGATGTCAGATATTGAGACAGAGATAGAAATTTTGGAAACCGAGGCTGGGACAATAGCAGAGGACAAAGCCAAGGGGAAGACGTCTTATACAAAGACCAAGACCAAAGAGTCTGAAATCCAGACCAAATCGGAGATACGACCCAGAGGTCCTAAAGAAAGTTCATGAGGTACAAGATACAGGCCAAGACCTGGAAGTCCGAGACCAACACTGAGATATTGAGGTCTTGAAGTGAGATGCAGAGGTTTTAGCGTAAGACCAAAGACCGTGAGAGCATGGAGCAAAGACCAAGACGTGACCTAATGGTCTTAGAGTGAGAGCCGGACATTTTAGAGTACGACCCAAGACCATGAGAGCATGGAGCCAAAACCAACAACTAGACCTGAAGGTCTTAGAGTTAGATCAAGAGGTTTTAGAGCAAGACCCAAGACCATAAGAGCATGCAGCTAAGACCAAGTCTTAGACCTGTAAGGTCTTAGAGTGAGATCCAGAGGTTTTAGAGCAAGACCCAAGACCATAAGAGCATGCAGCTAAGACCAAGTCTTAGACCTGAAGGGCTTGGAGTGAGATCCAGAGGTTTTAGAGCAAGACCCAAGACCATAAGAGCATGCAGCTAAGACCAAGTCTTAGACCTGAAGGTCTTAGAGTGAGATCCAGAGCTTTTAGAGCAAGACCCAAGACCATAAGAGCATGCAGCTAAGACCAAGTCTTAGATCTGAAGGTCTTAAAGTGAGATCGTGAGGTTTTAGAGTAAGACTCAAGAACCATGAGAGCATGCAGCCAAGACCAAGTCTGAGACCTGAAGGGTCTTAAAGTGAGATCCAGAGGTTTTAGAGCAAGACCCAAGACCATAAGAGCATGCAGCTAAGACCAAGTCTTAGACCTGAAGGTCTTAGAGTGAGATCCAGAGGTTTTAGAGCAAGACCCAAGACCATAAGAGCATGCAGCTAAGACCAAGTCTTATACCTGAAGGTCTTAGAGTGAGATCCAGAGGTTTTAGAGTAAGACCTGAGACAATGAGAGCATGGAGCCAAGACCAAGTCTTAGACCTGGAGGTCTTAAAGTGAGATCGTGAGGTTTTAGAGTAAGACCCAAGAACCATGAGAGCATGGAGCCAAGACCAAGTCCAAGACCTAGAGGATTAAGAATGAGATCAAGTGGCTTTAGAGAAAGACCCAAGACCATGAGAACATGGAGCCAGGATCAAGTCCGAGACCTGAAGGTCTTGGAGTGAGATCCGGAGGTTTTAAAGTAAGACCCAAGATCATAAAAGCACGGAGCCAAGACCAAGACCGTGACCTAGAGGACTAAAAATGAGATCCAGTAGCTTTAGAGAAAGACCCAAGACCATGAGAGCATGGAGCCAGGATCAAGTCCGAGACCTGAAGGTCTTGGAGTGAGATCTGGAGGTTTTAGAGTAAGACCCAAGATCATAAGAGCATGAAGCCAAGACCAAGACCATGACCTGAAGGTCAGAGACTATGACCCATACCTTGTGGTTCAAGACAGGGACCAAGACTTTGAGGTCCGATACCAATATCAAAAACCGGTCATTCCAAGACCAAGACCTGGAGCTCCAGGTATGACAGCAAGACTAGGAAGTCAAAGATCAAGACCAAGACTAGAAAGTTTTCCAGGAATTCATGTACCAACCTGCATGAGTTTGAGAAGCCCACTGACGCAATACAGGTAATTCTCAATCTCTGAATCAAGATCCACATTGAAGTCTGGGGCAAGTGTGTTGTACTTTCGTCCAGCTGTATATATATATATTACAAAAGGCAAAATTTAAAACTAACTGTTACTGAAAGTCAACATTTTCAGAATTAATGTCACTGAAATTGTTCAGCAAACTAAAATGAATTGAACCTGACCACATTTTCATAGCTGCCAACTTTTCAAAATCCCAATTAGTAATCAACCTGCGCGGTCATTTTCAACTGCTCGTTTTATCAAAAGCTTTACCAACATCGAGTACAGGTACATGGTTTACATGTACACATACATGTGCATACCCTTCTTGTTGTCAATAATAATGTACTGTAGGCCAAAAGATAATTTAAAAAAAAAAAAAAAAAAAAAATATTTTTTTTACTGAAAACAAGTAAAACTGAATTTTTTACTGAAATACAAGTATTTTTTTTTTTCGTTAGGTAGAAAATGGGAAATTCGTAATGTTTTAGTAACAAATCGTATTTTCGTAATTTAACAAACAATTCGTAATAATTACGAAAAATTCGTAACAGTTGGCAGCTATGCATTTTCTACAAATATCCATGCCTCTGAGCAATATGAACATTATTGGACACCATCTTAGGCTACAATGAACATAGTTCAATAACGGCTGTCGTGTACTAAACTGTCAAAAGCAACAGACAAAAAAGAGAATCCTTCCAAGAAAAAAAAGAAGTTATGGCAACTTTTGTCTTTACTTTGATCAGGAAACTTGAACATTTTAAATTCAATTTCTTAAAAGTCTTAACTTATGATGTTTTACTAACAAGCTTCCCCTTTGCTTGACTGGCTTGCTGATGAACCTTTCCGAGCCACAACCCTGGAAAGATGGAAATAGTGAAATTAACGTTCACACGAGAATTTATCTGTCAACTGTCTGAATCCAATGGGCCCTATTCATGAGTCGGCCATATTGAATTGAAAGTAAGGTAAAATCTTAATTTTTGGAACTTGTGAAGAGAAATGAAAGCAAGTTAATTTAAAATAAATTCCAGTCTGCTTCAATGAATAATTTTAAATTTGTAATCAAACATTCCCTAATTTTTAAAGAAAGATTTAAAAAAAAAAACCCAGTAAATAAGGCTGCATTTTGCTTGCATAAATAGTCTGGCACCATCCCATTCAACAGTTAACAATTAATGAAATAAATTCAGGGAACTCAACAAAAAATGGCCAATTCGTGAATAAGGCCCACTCCAACTGATTTTCTTTGCAGTTTTTTTCTTCCATATATGACTAAAGTTCTTGTACAATATAAGCTCTGAAACCTAAAAACAAAAATCACCAACTATGCTGATGGACAACACACTTGCAAATATAATATAAATAATTTAACCCCTCACCCACAGATTCTGTATCTTGATTGGCCGAGAGCAGGTCACATGGCATTCGCTACTTTTTACTATCTTGCTGTGCATTGCCAAAAATGCTATACAACGGGTAAAACAAGTACTACACGCATAGCAACCAACGTAGCAACCAGTATGAATGTGTGGAAACGCCTACGGACGTGCGTCTTGCACGTATTGTTACCCCGCGCTTAGCACTACAGAGTAGGGTTCAAACATTTCATGGAGGGGTAGTTTGGAAAAATGCAAGTAAGTTTTCAAATAATTTGACATTGAAATAGAAATGCATTTTAATTGAATTAAGGTCAAGTCAGTCAGATATCTCTTTAAGTCAAGCAGAATCTGTGGGTGAGGTGTTATAAAAACAAATACTGACGGCTACAACTCGTGGTGTAGTCAAACTAGCCTGCCTCAGTGATCCATGGAGCATCCATTTCTTTGCTGGACCTTACATTGACTTCATTAAATTAATTACTTACGGCCTTAGATTTGAACCTGTCCTTCCCCTGGGCGTGTCTTTAAGCTTGTGAGCTTTGCCAGCAGTCTGGAAAAACAAAATATTTTATATTTATTAGAAATTGGTAATAACTAAAAAACTAAAAGGCTGGAAATAGTGATAAAAATGGACTCAATTCCTAAGAGTCACATTACTGGCTTTCTCAAGGCGGGACATTGTATTGTGTTTCACTTCTATTGACCCTCCCAGTGGGAAGTCAAGATTCAGAGCAATATGTAAAGCCCTTTCAATTAAAGCAGGTCAGTTTCAAATGAAGGGATATGAAGTGTAAGCCCTACAATGTCTTTTTTTTGGGTTGCTAATCCCTAGCAGAACTCAACCCATCAAACCCCAATGACATGCTTTGTTGGAATCTGTCAGGATGGGTACAGTACCCCTAAACTGACAGTCTTTTACATCGGGTTGGCACACCTCCAGAATCAAAGTCAGAAACATGTGTGTGAAGTTTCTTCCCATATGGTGTTGGAATTTGCCAGGATGGGTAGGGCTGCTAGTAAATCATGTTAGGGTTTTAATGTTTATAATTTGAAGAACTGTTCATTTTCTTAACAGTGTTTTGTCTTTCAATGTACAGCACTTTGAGGATTTTTTTATTAAGATGGACGGCGCTTTATGAATAGTTATTTTATTAGTTATCCTGCAGGCGCGAGTGGAACACAGAACACGCACTACACTTTCCGTGATCAACGAGCGCGAGCATGATAACAAATTCATCTTCAAGCCAACTAGCACACTTAACACGAACCTTTTAGCGGATTAGCGCATGAAGCTGGAATGTCGCTCGCATCTTGGCATAGCTCAATACGCGGGGTGCGATATGGACCGTGCGATACGGTATAATATCACACTGTTGTTGCCATGGATCGCCCAATCGGGATCGAGGATTTGTGTTTGCTTGAAGATAGTTATTATTATTATTAAAGTAACTGTGTCTCATAGAGTCACTGCACACAAAAACAGCACTGTGGAGAGCAGTGAAGCGATGTGACCGAATCTACCTGCTTGCCCTGAGCTTAACCACGCAAAAGAACTGTGCAGGGATTTGAAGTGTTATCCTTAGTCCTCCTCAGATCATCTCAAAGTAATTTGAAGTGTGGGTGCTGACTCCACCGGAAAAAGTGGAGTTTTATTGGTTGCAAAAATTGAAGGGTTGGACAGTGCTGAGGACTATGAGGATTAAAAGTAGGTCATAAACCCTGAAAATTTACGAGGAAAATATTTTTAGAGAGCGAATTTATAGAAGGTGGAAAATACAATAGTTTCACAGACCACCATAGGAGAGAAGTTGCCTGAAGACGGCGCCGCGTTTCTCCTGAGATGTTCCTTCATTAACTCCAGGGATTTCTTGAGGACGATGGAGCGCGTGGCGTGGTAGATGTCGATGAAGTCCAGCGTCTTGCTGTGGTCCTTCAGCCACTTGGCAATCTCTGTCAGGTCTTCCATGGCCGATTCTGGACAAAGTTGAATGAAAGTGAAAATTCAAAAAGAGGGAGTTTGAAGTGTTTCTGAAAAATTAAACTGAAATTGGGTGAGTCAGGGCTTGGGGTAGGAGGCTGAACATGACTTATTCGCAGATTATGAAAGAGGAGAACTTTTGTACATTTTTTTCACAATGCCATTCGTTTTATTGTTACACTTGGTACATTGCATATGTTTAAAGGTAGAGTATATCATTTGCAGCTATCCACAAAGTAACTGACAAAATTATCGTTGAAAAGCTTACTTGGTTGAACGATAGTAATGGCATTAAACTCCCGGTGAAATTATTCCATCCGGCATGCTGTCATTTTGAAGAAAACAACTTGAAGGTCATTTCTAAAGTAGACGCATTTTTGGAAATTTCCGTTAGTAATTCGTTTTCAATTCGGCGACTGGTGCCCGCCAGCGTTGACACTACGCACACGTTCGCTTGGTTGCTATGGTTCATCGGTTCAGTGCAGGACATCGCTGAGCTCCAATCAGCTGAATGAGAACGTGTCCTAAACGCTGATTTCGGGCGCAATTCAAAACATGACTTGTCAACTTTTGAATTGAAACCGAGATCATAAAATATTGTTTTCTCGGAATATACAGCATTCAGAGAGCTCAAACTTCATCAGTTCAGTTGTTAAGCAACCTCCTTTAGATTTTGAGCACTTTTGTTACTTAAAACGTAAAAACGTACAAATGACAAATGACGTACTCTACCTTTAATGTTTCATTGTTATTACTGATTAAATGCCTTGAAAAGTTCATTTTTAGTGTCTAAATCTGAAATTCCTATTTTGTCAGACACTCTACAAAGCATAATCAAGAAGATGTAGATCACCATTTTTTTCTTACGTTCCATTCACATTTGAAATTCTTGTTCTGTTTCAAAAGCTGGTTATTAAAAACCAACAATGTTAAAAACACATATTTTATGACTGGAAAAAGACTAAATTTCACTGGCCCATTTTGTAAGTATCATTGATTTTGGCACCACCAAAGTTTGACTACTTTTAACACAGTAGACATTGTGGTATCTCCTATCAACTTACCGGGCATTTGGCTCAAACTGAGGGACACATTATCAGAAGGAAAATCTGAAAAAGACAAAAATGTGAAAAATCTAAGCATTTTCAAATAATTTACAGTCCTAAAGGGTAGGGTTTTTTTTTTTCAATAACTATTTAAGAGGTTCTTTAATTATTTGTTGACTTCAAATATTTTGACTATTTCAGGTATTTCGGATAGTTTAGGAGAATACTGTTGAGTCGTAACATATTTTAAGGGGAAACAGGTGACTTTTTTGGGGGGACAATGGTGGGATACAGGGAATGAGCTCACCAGTAAAGGGATTATTTGATGCAGGTTTTAGCTGTGGAAAGCAGCTCAACAAATACTAATGTCTCTCTGTTAGTTGGTTGGTTGGTTAGTTAGTTAGTAACAAACATCAGCAACAGCCTTGCAATCAGTGCTGGAGGACTCGAGTCCGGACTCGGACTTGAGTCTGGATTCGAGTCCCGATTTTCAAGGACTCGGACTCGGATAGTGGGGACTCAGACTTGGACTCGGACTCGAACAATGAGAACTTGACTTTCTTGAGGACTCGGCCCCAGTCCGGAAAAAAACCCACATATTTTTACCTATAACTTTACTGAAGAGTCTGGTTCATCCATGGAACCAGACTAATGAGACTGTGCCTACTTGACACGTTCAATGGCCTGGTGGCTTGCATGACATGATTAATGTTAAATTTCTATATTGTACAGCACTTTTTCAATTTGTACACCCTGCGAACATTCTCATACATTTATCTGCTAAAATATTGCGTGCGCTAGAATTTAAATGAAAATCTTTTGCAAAACGATGCATGAATTAGCTACAGTTCAAGGTTTGGGCGCACGCAGTACGTACGTAGCACGCACGCGCGCGCATATACTGAGCAGTCTATCTGATCATCCCGCAGATCGTTGGTAACACGTGTTCAACTTCTTGTCGACTGCCGAGGCTTCGGACTTACTCTTTATAGCTCCATGATACCACAGATCATGTCGGCGCTTTCCGAGTGATCAAGTATGGATTTACCAATCACAAGAAGTATTTGTGCCACAAATCGGGCAAGAAGAGACATTCTGCAAACTATAACATTTGCAAAGCCACAATTTCTGAAATTAGTGGAACTACTTCCAACTTCACCCGTTATCTGCAGCATGTAAACAAATCTCGGTGAGCTTGTGGAACTTTGTAAATGATGGGACGAATCCAGTTGCGGGGGGGGGGGGATTTTTTTCTTTCTTTTTTTCCTCTCCAAAATGTTGAACCATTAGTGGTGTGCGTTTATACAATTCTGTGAAATATTTTACTTTTATACCCCATCAAAATTGATCAATAAAACAGCCATGTGAATTACATCGTACTGATAATGATGTAGGCCTACATCATGTACATGTACATGTGGCATATAGCCTGACTGCCACCGTGCCACACATTCATTAAAGGACTCGGACTAAGACTCGGACTCGGCGACAAGGACTCAGACTCGGATAACAATGACTCAGACTTGGATACCAAGGACTCGGACTTTGACTCAGACTCGGATACCAATGACTCAGACTCGGACTCGGACTCGGATGGGGTGGACTCGGCTACAGCACTACTTGCAATGCTATCAATCACCTCGTTCCTCAGGCCCATACTGGGTCTCCATTGACCCCCTACCAATTTATGCAGTCCCTATGTTCAAAAACCTGATGTTTGTACTGAAAACACTACTCCTTCCAGAAATTACATGGCACATCACGTCACATATGCATGAACACAAAGGCATTGGCCCGCAGCTTCCGAGATCATTTCGAGCTTGTTTCTACCTTCGTCTTCAGCAGCGATGAGCTCAAGCACCATGGTGGGTGGGACCGGCTGGCCGTGTCGGCTCAGTAACACCCTGAACTCATTCTGTAGGGAATCCTTGCCAGTGTTGAACAACAACGTCTGGTTGAGGAGAAAATGGGAAAAAAACATGGTTGGTTCACAAAACATTTCATTTGGTTCACAAAACATTTCATTTGAATGTACTAAACCGACGAACAGCTTCAGTACTGTTATCAATCAGTACATCAATCAGTACTGTTACTGGATACAGGGAACATGACCGAAATGGTGGCAGCATGATTAAAGGTCTATACTCACGGCTTTAGCCAGCTCGGGGCTGCTTGGGTTGTGCTCCTCAAAGAAGTTTTTGGCATCTTCTATCTGCTGCATGTGGCTCAGGTACTGCTCCAGACCATTGCCCGCCCTGCAAAGTGTACAGATAAAGTTTGGCATGCGTAAACCCATCCACATGAATGTCCCACTTTTTTTCCCCTGATCAATTATTGTTAAACGAGGTGGCCAATCAAGACCACTTTTTCCTGTGGTACTTTCCTTCAAATATTATTATCGTTTATTATTTTATCGCTATGAGCAATGATGTCTTAACAAACACAAGAATGTGTAAACATACACCAATGCCCCGCTGAGATGAATTGCACTTCTTGACTGACATGATTGCAGATTGTGTAAGCGCTGCCCCACAATAAGGTATGGCATTATAATTATACACACAAACGACACATAGTAATACATATTAATTTTTTTTTGAAAGAAATGTGTCAATATACTAAACATGCATCGAAGGAAAATGCAAGTTGTGGGAAAACCATTTCTATTGTTTTCACCACAATGACCTTGACCTTTGACCTATGAGGTTCAAACTCAACAGGCTTTTAGAGGACACCAAGACTAACCCACATAGTAAGTTTGAAGTTGGTATGTCAAGTGCTTCTCAAGTTATGGTGGGAAAACTGATTGCTTGCACACACACAAGGAAGGACAAGGCAAACTCAGTATGCCCTTTCGGCTTCGCCGGCAGGGCATAAAAATAAATTCTGGTTAGGCCTACCACAGAGTCATCTCTTCAACCCTGGCTCAGACTCCTAACAATTTCAAATTTGGAAGCCTCCACAATTTAGTCTGAATTACAAAGGTAACACACTTTTGTCCTTTATAATTCATCTCCAAAGTGATGAAGCAGGAGCCTGAAGCCAAAGACATAGACAAGCTGGGGATTGAAAACTGACTTGTTTGTGGCCATGTCAAAAACTGGCTTTGCTACCTGCGGCTGCGGCTTTTCTCAATAGCATGTAATGGCAAAAGACAGAAGCCACAGCCATCAAGAACCTGTCAAACTACTCACCCTGCCTTGACGGCTTGCTCTAGGTCCCTGACTGCATCGTGGTGGCTCAGCACATCATCAAATACACTCAGGGTGACGGACAGATCTGGGAGGGGGACTATTAAGGAAAGAGTCTTTGTGTTTGGTTAAACCTACACCTTCATTACTAGGAAAAATTCCAAGGTGTGGCACATCCGACTATGAAGCCGCGTCCGAGTTACTTGGCTTTTGCTGGAAATAACACACGCACCCATGGAAGCGGCTGCAGCCACTTCCCATAGACCAGTGTGTTGTCTATGGAAGCAGCTGCAGCCACTTCCCATAGACCAGTGTGTTGTCTATGGAAGCAGCTGCAGCCACTTCCCATAGACCAGTGTGTTGTCTATGGAAGCAGCTGCAGCCACTTCCCATAGACCAGTGCGTTGTTTCCAGCTAATCATAAACAGCCTTAGTCTTTGAAGACACTGGAAAATTGGGAGAAACCAATAAATGGCTCAGTTGCAAGCGCCCCGGTAGCCTGTGTAATAGACCCTGGCCCTGGCTAAGCTGACCATAGTCTATAATACCTAAACAGATTTTGACGATTAATTATGCAACTAGACTGAGTACGACCTCAAGAAACTGACCAATCAGCAGACGCCTTCTTTACGAGCGTAATTTCGAGCTCCCCGGGTGCGTAAACATCACGCCCACGATGAGAAGCATTTTTGTACAGGTTGTTAAAGCGTCATCGAAATTGACCAATCACCGTCTTAGTCCTGATTTTGGAATGAAATGACGTTATGCATGCTTAGATGTCAGACGTTATACTTGGTACCGCGGATAACGAGTGATACGCAGACTAGAGCACCAGTGACTTGTTGGACAGATCACGGGTTCTACTCCCACTCCAGTCAATTTCTTTGTTCAGCCTTAAGATTGATTGAAAGTGTATTTAAGGCCAAAAAAAAAAATATTCAGTCTCTGGTCAGACCAAAGTTCCGGAATTGACGCGGCCACGCGGCTTTTTTTTTTTTTCTTCAAGCTTGGATTGTACAGACAAGGTGGGTACTATTTTGCTTTTTTGGTGTCCTCATGTACATTGGTGTCCTCCAAAATTTGCCTTGGTGCTTTCGATCATTTGCCTTGGTGCAATTTCCCATTCCTTGGTGCTCTTTGGTAAAAAAAAATTGAGGAGGTGCGGAAATAGAGGGCGCTGTTGGAGCTACCGCGGAACATTTTGGAAAAAAAAAGATCGACGCGCATGATTAAAATCGACGCGCGCGCTGACCAGAGACTGACTTATTTTTTTTTTTGGCCTAATAGTCAGTTTTCATTTGTGCATTACTGGATGACTTGTGATAGAACGGTAACCTCTCTGAGTGATTCCTGATTGCCATTTTCAGTGCGTGCATCACTGCCTATATGCAGGCAACCTCATGTCCAGGCTCGACACCACTACCTGCTCTCTCACCCTGGTATTGGATCATTTGCCTATCCAAAATGTTTGGATACGTATGCAAATGCGGAATAGTCTGGTGCCTGCCTGTGCTTTACATCAGTATGTATTGTATTTGGTGTCTGGGTTAAAAACAGAATCAATTCGTCGCGGCGTGAGTTACGAAAACACTTTCGAAGTTAACATTTTACAATCGTATCCAGCCAATATGCAGTATCACATTTCATATGAGCAAATTGGAAATAGAAGGAGTATTTTTGAGGACGTAATAATTACAATGAATGTGAAAACACATAATACACGTTGGAAATAACACCACCAAGTACACGATATAAACCAATACCTGCTAATTGCACTATCGAATCAGGATACAGGAAGACAGCTTCCCATCCAGGGCTTACTATCGGGAAATGAGATTGAAATCAAGTAAGCCCTGGGGACGAGGTTAATGTGCAGGCACCGCAAGATTGGGCATTATTGCTAGCCACACGGCACATATACAGGTTAATGGTTTCTGACAAGTGCCCAGTAAACAAAGACACTAATTTGGCAACTACCAACCTAATAACTGGATAGAGCTCGTGGGCAGTATTCTGGAGGTCTCAAATTCCATCTTATGAACTGGGCCCAATTTCACGGCGCTGCTAAGCACAAAAAAATTGCTTAGCACAAAAAAGTCTGGCTTACAAAAGCAGGTTATCAGCCAAAACTCCATATGATTTTCATGCTAAGCAAACAACAGCTGAATACTAATCACGAGCAATATACATCATATGGAGTTTTGGCTGGTAACCTACTTTTATAAGCCAGACTTTTTTTGTGCTGAGCAAATTTTTGTGCCGAGCAGCGTGTGAAATTGGCCAAGTAGTTTGTGAATTCTTTTGTTACAATCACTTGGGAGAATATCGAGCATACAGAATTCTGGAGGTCACACATTCAAATCTTGCTACATCAAATTTCTTTGTTTAACTGTACATGTTAGTTATTTCAATTGAAAATTTAAACTAATCAGTTTTTATAATTTGTTGGGTGATAAAAATTTACAAATCTACTAAGGTAGTTACCTTGCTACTTTATGCCTAACCACGGCCAAATAAAACACAAATGTTTATCGAGCAACAGGATGAGCATCATTCACAGCTTTGTCAACGACGTGCTTAAAATGAGCGCATCGCCGGAGAATCTTCTCGCCTTGCTCACTACAACAAGAAGTCCACCATCACCATCACAAGTGTCTGAGAGACTAGCCTGCCCAGTGTAGCAAGATCCGTCAAGCCAAAAGACTCAAGGCCAAACTGCCTCAGAGTCTGTGGTCAATGAATGCAGCAGGATACAACTGTGGCATTGTTCAATGGGACTAGCTCTCATTGTCTCAGAAGCGGCCGTTTATGCACTGGTGTTGGTAGCTGAATGCATCAAAGTGCACCAGACTTCTCCACCTGATGCACTTTAAAATAGTCATCAGGAAGAAAAGTGCAACAAAGATGAACATTAATACTTCAGAAATATAATAATAATGTGGTGCTTATATAGCGCTTTATACCAAAGGCCTCAAAGCACTTTTACAATTATTAATTATATTAATTATTATTAACCGGCCAACCGATCCCATTAGAAAGCATCTGCACTAGAAAGCAGGAAGTCGTGGGTTTGAGTCCCACCCGAGTGATTTTTTCCAACTTTCACTCGGGAGGTAACACACTGAGTATACAGTGTTTAAAAACGTCGGTGAAGGGCAAAACCTAATTTGATTAATATTGTATATGTTTGCAATGCTGCGTTGTTGCGTGCATGTATGATTTGGTTATACATGTATATGCTAATGAAAAAAATTTTGCCGTTGGGGTTGAAGGCAAAGACCCCCCCCCCCCTTTCCCTGACCCCGCACCCCCACCCCACCTTTACCCATTCCGATTGGTCGACAGCCCGTCACGTGACCAGTTTTAAACAGTATACATAAAGACCGGCTGGCTGGTCTTCAACACGTTTGCAGTGTCACATAAAACTTGGACTCCTATGAAGTTTGGTGCCTTTTACCGTTTCATTGGTTGAACGTTCACAATCCTTACGTAGGCATGTGCATGTTCTCAATAAAGAACCAAGGAACTCAACCAGGATGCCGGCCGAACAACATCCGACATGGCCGACCAAACAAATTTCATGTTTATTGGGTCCACTGCGGTGATGAAGTACATAAAGAACGGGTCCCGCCCCCAGCTGCGGCACCGCTCCTCAAATAACTCCAGAATGAATTTCTTCACGTGGTCTACATTGCTCGGGTCACCATCAAACTGTGGAAAGAAGTCGTTGAAGTTCACGTGTTTGATCTTCTCTTCCAACAAGTCGGTTTTGTTAAAGATGACACAGATGTGGGCCCTGGCGAAGTGCCGGCTGTTGAGGATCACGCTCAAGGTGTCGCACTCCTGCATCAGGTGGTTGGCGCCGTCGATGCCCTGGTCTTGATCAAACTTGTCCACCGAGACGAAATACAAGACTGCCCTGGCGTCGTCAAAGTGAGCGAAGACTTTCTTGTACCGCAGCGGGGCACCCAAGTCGACGAACCGCCGGACTAGGCCGTGGCTTTCGCCGACGTACTCCGCTACACCCGGCGTAGTTTGATGCGCGTGGCAGATGTCCTGGCTGTTGGGAAGATAATCCTGGAAAAAAGGGAGATCGAGTTAAAATCTTCAGTGAAAAAAGGCGAAACACAATCCTACAAATCCTCTATAAATCCAACCCCGAATTTGGAGGATTCAGTTCTCCCCGAAGTCAGATACTTTGGTCTACATTTCTCAAAAGGCTGATCAGTTTTAGGGTTGAAGTTTTAGAATTTTGAAGCAATTGAAAAGGTTCAAATACAGATTTGACTGCTTCTAAGACAAAAATATTTCAGTATTTTTATAGTGAATGACAACACAAAATATCAACTGTCAGATTGACCCAAGGATACTTGCTAACAGAAAGTCTCATTGAGGCAACGTCTAATTGAAATGTACTGTTTTCTTTAACCAACAAAAATATTTTCTTTACACACACAAGATTTTGTAATAACTTTTTGACAAAACATTAATACATAAAAACAGTGGGCATGTTCATTTTTTAAAATAGTAATTGATGCACCCAAGTAAGTTATGGAATATACCTTTGCACAGATGATATGCAAGCAGATTCAGCGATTAATTATGCAAAACAAGATGCAGTTTTGACCTTGAGATTCTGACCATTCAGCGGGCACTTTGCATTGGATCTTCCGTAACCCGTTGTTGTATTTCAAAAACATGGCAGCCAAATTGACCAATCAACAGCTTAGTCAGTAAGATTTGAGGCTTTGCATGGTGGAGATACTAAATAATGAAAGGTTTGCGGATTTTTTTTAATCAAACATTCCCACATCAACGACCACAAAGTTGACTGGGATGCGGCGGAACTCATCGCACCGATCCAGTTCTGGCATCCAAGACGCATACGGGAAGCCATCGAGATCCGCAAGCACAACACAGTTCCGCAAGACATCAGGTTTCACCTCAACGACATCTGGATCCCACTTCTCCAGACTAATGGGTCTCCTATACCCTAGGTCCTCAGCTACCACCTTAGACTGATGGGTCTCCTATACCCTAGGTCCTCAGCTACCACCTTAGATTGATGGGTCTCCTATACCCTAGGTCCTCCCTCTACTGACACTGCAACCCTACTGTTCCACTTCAGTGGGCACCAAGCTTGTTCTAGGATCCTGTCTACTTGGCACCCTCACAGGATGCAACTTCTCACTTCATTGACTTCGCCTTTTGCTACTTAAGTATTCACTTTCTTAGAGTTTAGGCACTCTCCTGAAGACGGTCAGAGCATACTGACCGGAACGTCAAGTTTATACCTCTGGTTCTTTTCAGAACCATTCTCTTAGTTGAGAAATTATTCGCACATGGTGTTTCCGCAAGCCTTTCATTATTTAACAGCTTAGTCCACATTTCTGATTGAAATGACGTCACAATTTCTTAAGTCAACTCTGATCATAAAATTTGCATTGCTCACACATATCAGACGTTGGATACGGAGAGGGCTCCATTAGACAATGGGTGATAATCGGACTCAGTAAATTACAGGGATAAACTGAAAAAATAAAAACTCAAAAGCAAATTTAAGCACCTCATTTCCAATGCGATCCAAGTCATCCAGAAAGTACCTGACATAGCTTTCCTGTACATAGACAAAAGACAAATTATTACAAAACTTTAAAGAGGTTGTGGAATGCTCGAAGACATTTCCGTCATTTTTTGGGGTATATGTAGCCTAAGGTGTGATGAAATAAAAACGACTATTGTTTCCAACTTGAAATGAGTACAAAGGGTACTTTTGAGAGCTATTTTTCAGGTCCTGTTTCGACCCGAACGTGCAATTTGTGTAAAAGTCGTCGTTGCGGGCAGCAAACAAAACACAGTAAATCGTGACGTAATAAACAGGACTCGTTTATGCTACTCTGCATCGGGAGTCCTGTTTATTACGTCACGATTTACTGTGTTTTGTTTGCTGCCCGCAACGACGACTTTTACACAAATTGCACGTTCGGGTCGAAACAGGCATGACAGGACTTGAAAAACAGCTCTCAAAAGTACCTTTTGTACTCATTTTATGACAGAAACAATAGTCGTTTTTATTTCATCAAACCTTAGGCTACATATACCCGAAAAATTACGGAAATGTCTTCCGGCATTCCACAACCTCTTTAATTAATGTATTATCCTGGTTAGATAACATAGGCTGCTTAATGTCAGCAACCAAAGCTTTGTGATGGCAAACGTTTTCTTAAGGCAGCTCTTGTCCTTGAGCACTGTATGTTTGCACTATGTGTGTATTTTTTATAATAACGTGTGAACGCACATATCCCTCATCCCTGAATCGCACAGATTCCTGAATTCTCCATTTATTACTTTTTTACCTTCCCTTCGGATATACATTGTACGTTGGGAGAAGTTTAATGGACACACCTTGTTAAATGTCTAACTCAAAAAGAGAGGTGGTTTTAGAAACTCCTCAACGTCTTTGACACATCAACTCTGGTTAGTGCACTCTGACTGTCATCATGAATCATTCAGACAAGCTTCATCTGTCCACAAAGGTGGTACATGTATCTGCAAATTTTTCTAAGTTTGGTTCTCTGCCACATAAAGCCCAATTTGCATTTAAATGCTAAGTCATGAATACTCAACATGATTAAATCTTTAAAGAAACTATCAGAAGTATTTAGCAAACAAACTCAACGTGCAGTTTGTGTAAAGACGGTTTGCATGACAATCACAAACTCACCAACTGGAATTCATCCCGCCTCTTGTATGCTTCCTGAATGCCGTTATCCACCCACAGTGCCTTGCAACTGGACACGTGTGTTGCAAATGTCCTTGGATTCAGCTGCGATGTGTCACAGTCGATGACCCGGGCAGCATGTTCCTCATTGGCTGCGTCGTCCCACGGAATCCGAAGCTTGCTCCGAGCATCCAAAAGCGCTTTCAAGCCTTCTATGACGTTGGAGTAAATAACGTCACGGTAGCGTTCGACCTCCTCATTTGTGAATTCGTCTCCGTGGATACTTCTCAGCTGTTTGATGAAGGTGCTCTTGCCCGACCCTGGGGAGCCCAGGAGTAGGACTTTGAGGTCTGTCCGGGTCCGGGCAAGCTCCTTGTCGATTGCTTCGCTGCGAGCTGTGGCAGCCCTTCTGGCCTGCTCTCTCTGTCGATACTGGCGGATGGGTACGCAGCACGAAAAGATGTTAGCGGCCATACCGTCGGTGATGATACCTTATTCTAAATCAAAGGTATTGTTTTTTTTATTCTCTCCTCTCTGATCTGTTGTTTGATCTAAACTCTCATGTTGACGTGGTGACAAAGACGGCCATCTCTTCCTGAGCATTTTTGAGCTGGAGCCTCAGCCGCTGCAGCCGTTAACATCAAAGCTACCAGCTACATGTATAAGACCTTCGTTAGACCGATTGTGGAGTGCTCAGCCTCTTTATGGGATCCCCATACCCAACTCAATACCAAGAGAACAAAACAGGTGCAGCATAGCTCAGCCAGGTTCGTCACAGGTGACTACGTCAGGACAAGCAGCGTATCAGCCATGGTTCAAGATCTCCAATGGCACACTTCCGTAGCTACCAGGCGTCGTATGAGCAGGCTGGAGACGACGTACCGTATATGACCTGATAGACATCAAATGGTCCCAGGGCCTTACTCCATTATCATCTGGCACCAGAGACCATGCCTCACGTTTCCTGTGCCCACTTTGCAGGTCTTCAGTGTCCTCAAACTCACTTCTTCCCACGCACTACCCGTGACTGGAATATCCTCGAGTGACCCACCAGCATCACACCAACCCTTGAGGCCTTTAAGACAGCTTAAGTAATCACCCAGGATGTGCCCTTTTGGACTAGCACATGTAAATATTGCACTTGTGATTTGTGCCACGCCTTGCACCATGCAAGCCCACCTATGCAGTGTGATTTGTCCTTATGCATATGAGATCTACACTTCATCAGGAGGAGGAAGGAAGGAAGGAAGGAAGTGTAGCTCTTTAAAACAAAATCCTCAGTGGGACACTGTGTATGGCTGACCTTCACAGTTGACACACATGAGCAACATCTACACCTACATTGTGTTGGAAGAAATGTTCAGCCATTCTAAACTGGAAAGTTCCTTTGTGGAACTGGAGAGAACTTGAACTGGTTCAGTGGGGTCTCCCAGGCCCGGATTTTACCCAGCTTTGTAACCCTAATTAAACAGAACATTAAACGATACGCTATGACAATGAGCCAATTATACCATCCACAAAGGTGTTTCAACTAAAAAATAAAAAGTGCCTCATTTTGTCCTCGATTAAAGGATACTTTCTTGGAGTTTCTAAAGTGACACTGTTTCCCTGTGGAAACTAACGAACCGGATAGTTTGAGCAGAGAGTGATTAAATCATTAATTTGATATTTATATTAAATATTCATATTTAAACTGAAGTGACGTCACACTAACGAACCGGATAGCTCGATCAGAGAGTGATTAAATCATTAATTTGATATTTATATTAAATATTCATATTTAAACTGAAGTGACGTCACACTAACGAACCGGATAGCTCGATCAGAGAGTGATTAAATCATTAATTTGATATTTATATTAAATATTCATATTTAAACTGAAGTGACGTCACACTAACGAACCGGATAGCTCGATCAGAGAGTGATTAAATCATTAATTTGATACAGCGTGATGTGCATTGTGCGCATCCCCAAATCCATGGAAAAGCACATAACTTGCATGCTGCATGTATGATTAACTTGCAAGTGTACATGTATGATTTGGTTCTATATGCTAGTGGAGAAAATTGTACCTTGGGGTTTGGCGAGGGAAGGAATGGCTCACTAGGGTTCAAGTATTCAGATAAAGGATTTTATTCAATTCTGCAAAGAATCAAACAGGCAAAATAAAACATTAAGCTAACAGTGGATATAACGGAAAAACACGGAAAAACAACTCACAACTTTTCACCCCAACAAATCCATACAGCATAAACATCAGTTACATCAACAGTGGTCGCTTCAGATCATGATAACTGAAAGACACAGTTTACAGTCAGATTCAGCTATCAGCCTAACAGATAGGCACAGTTTACATCAGTCAGATTCAGCTATCAGCCTAACAGATAGGCACAGTTTTCATCAGTCAGATTCAGCCATCAGCCTAACAGATAGGCACAGTTTCAGTCAGAAACAGATCAGAAAACGAACAAAATACAGTTAACGTCAAGCAGACAAGTTGCATCAAAGCGGAACAAAACAAAATCAGCATAATATTTTGAATTTAAATGTAGATTCGAATTGACGCCACGCGTGCGATTTCACGTGCGCTCACATACGTACGCCCTCATCAAGTTTGCACACAATGAGGGACGCCCTCAAGAAAGTGTTGCAACTCAAGAAAGTGTTGCAACTTTCTTTCTCCGCAAAACACGGATCCCCCCTCCACTGATCCCCCCCACCCACCCTCCCCAACCCCACCCCATTTTCTGTTTGAGGTCTGATCGGAGGGCTTTAATACATTGGAAGATCACGAGAGGTACCGAGTGTACATGTACTGTACACCATCCCCTACAATTAACCACCAATAGGGGGCACAGTTTCAGTTTAACAGTGATATCTCTATTTGCTTCAACTCTCTGACGTTTTGCAATGGCGGGTTTGCTAACTGAAATTATGAACACTGTGCAAAGTACCCCCTCAATGGTTACAGAGAGAGTGTTGGTCCTTCCTTCCTTACTTCACTGAAAGTGCAGCCTCATATGTACGAGGATAAGCGCACTTGCCAGAAACACCGGGGCGAACCCCTTCTCTTGGCGATAAGTGTTACTGGGTTCTTTTACGTGCATTATACAACACACGGGACCTACGGCTTTACGCCCCATCAGAAGGACGAAGCAATAATGGTTAAGTGCCTTGCTTAAGGGCACAAGTTTTCAGAACCGGGCTCGAACCCATGCCACTGTTGCCTCTGAAACACCAGAGCATGAGTCCGGTGCTCTTAACCGCTAGGCCATGACACTCCTGAGGGACCACTGGGAGGGATTCTTGAATGCATTGCCTGATGCTCCTGATGCTCATGAGAAGATGTTACAGATTTGTGCCCATTCAGAATAAAGTTAGGCAAGCTTACTTCACGCCGTCCATGCACGAATTAGTGGGCATACACTACATACACCCCAAGGACCCACAAAGGGAGAACAACAGATTCTTTGTTGACCTCCATCGTTCATCTGCTGTCGAAAATGGTCCTCGATCATGCGTTTACGTGTTTAATCTATGGGAGAGTGTTATATTACAGGGACAAAGGAAAAGACAACGGCTTATCCTCGGGAGTTATGTAAAACACGACTGTATGCACGCACACAGTGTGTCCCTCTCTATGGAGCTCTCATGTGAGGTGACAAGGCGGCATCTACTGTTCATGGAGGGAGTCAATAGAGAACGAAGGGGCTACCCTTGGGCAGCGGCCGAATAGCATCCGACATGGCTGACCAAACAGAAGCCATGTTTATTTGGTCCACTGCGGTGATGAAGTACGTACAGAATGCATCCCCCCATCGACTGTCGCACCGCTTCTCAAATAAGTCAAAAATGAATTCCTTCACCTGATCTATATTTCTCGGGTCACGATCGAACTGTGGAAAGAAGTCTTTGAGATTAACGTGTTTGATCTTCTGTTCCAACAGGTCGGCTTTGTTGAGAATGAGAAAGACTTGGGACCCGGTGAACCACCGGCATTTGAGGATCAAGCTCAGGGCGTCGCACTCCTTCATCAGCCAGTTGGTGCTGCCGGTACCCTCGTCATTGGTCCCCGCAGTCAGGACTTGATCAAACTCATCAACTGACACGAAATACAAGACTGCTCTGACGTCTTCAAAGTGAGTGAAGACTTTCTTGTACCGCAGCAGGGCACCCAAGTCGATGAACCGCCGGACTAGGTCGCGGCTTTCGCTGACGTACTCCGCTACACCTGGCGTACTTTGTTGCGCGTAGAGGATGTCCTGGATGTAGGGATGATAATCCTGCAAAAAAGGGGATCGAGTCCAAATCTTCGGTGAAAAATGGGGAAACACAATCCTTTTCTTTTTGAGCAACTAATGCACCCAAGTAAATTACAGGAACAAACTGACGAACAAAAAGTCAAAAGCCACGTAAGCACCTCATTTCCAATCCGATCCAGCTCATCAAGAAAGTACCCGACACAGCTTTCCTGTATGGTATAATACGGACAATAAGAAAAACGATTAATATACTTATAATAACATATCATCCTTGTGAGGTACACATGTAATGTAGGCTAAACCTCGTTTCCATTGGAGAATGATTAAATACGTCATCTGATAAAAAAATGATTAAACCTTGTTTCCATTCTCTGATTTAAACGCCAAGTTATGAATGCGAGGAGAGGAAATTTTGGGATTAACCAAAGATTCCAGAATCCTCCGAATATTTGGGGTTTTCAACATTCCATTCAGTTATACCTTGGGAGAAGCATTTGGATACATCATGTTAAACGACTCTCGACAAAAACTCTAACATTATCCATTTATGGAGGTTTTGTTGTTAAATAACAAAAAAACAAACAGATAAAGCCATTTGCATTTAAATGTGGAGTCATGAATACTCAAGATGATTTCATCTAAAAGAAACGATCAGAAGTATTTAGCAAACAAACTCAACGTGCAGTTTGTGTAAAGACAGATTGCATGACGATCACAAACTCACCAACTGGAATTCATCCCGCCTCTTGTATGCTTCCTGAATGCCGTTATCTGCCCACAGTGCCTTGCAACTGGACACGTGTGTTGCAAATGTCCTTGGATTCAGCTGCGATGTGTCACAGTCGATGACCCGGGCAGCATGTTCCTCATTGGCTGCGTCGTCCCACGGAATCTGAAGCTTGCTCCGAGCATCCAAAAGCGATTTCAAGCCTTCAATAACGTTGGAGTAAATAATGTCACGGTAACGTTCGACCTCCTCATTTGTGAATTCGTCTCCGTCGATACATGTACTTCTCAGCTGTTTGATGAAGGTGCTCTTGCCCGACCCTGGGGAGCCCAGGAGTAGGACTTTGAGGTCTGTCCGGGTCCCGGCAAGCTCCTTGTCGATTGCTTCGCTGCGAGCTGTGGCAGCCCTTCTGGCCTGCTCTCTCTGTCGATACTGGCGGATGGGTACGCAGCACGAAAAGATGTTAGCCGCCATACCGTCGGTGATGATACCTTATTCTAAATCAACGGTATTGTTTTTTTATTCTCTCCTCTCTGATCTGTTGTTTGATCTAAACTCTCATGTTGACGTGGTGACAAAGACGGCCAACTTGTCCTGAGCATTTTTGAGCCGGAGCCTCAGCCACTGCAGCCGTAACATCAAAGCTATAAGACCTTCGTTAGACCGATTGTGGAGTGCTCAGCCGCTTTATGGGATCCCCATAACCAACTCAATACCAAGAGAACAAAACAGGTGCAACATAGCTCAGCCACAGTCACAGGTAACTACGTCAGGACAAGCTGCGTATCAGCCATGGTTCAAGATCTCCAATGGCACACTACCGTAGCTACCAGGCGTCGTATGAGCAGGCTGGAGACGACGCACCGTATATGACCTGATAGACATCAAGTGGTCCCAGTACCTTACTCCATTATCATCTGGCACCAGAGACCATGTCTCATGTTTCCTGAGCCCACTTTGCAGGTTCTCAGTGTCCTCAAACTCATTTTTTGTCCACGCACTACCCGTGACTGGAATATCCTCAAGAGTGACCCAGCAGCATCAACCCTTGACGCCCTTAAGACAGCTTAAGTAATCACCCAGGATGTGCCCTTTTTGACTAGCACATGTAAATATTGCACTTGTGATTTGTGCCATGCCTTGCACCATGCAAGCCCACCTACATGTATGCAGTGTGATTTGTCCTTATGCATATGAGATCTACACTTCATCAGGAGGAGGAAGGAAGGAAGGAAGTGTAGCTCTTTACAACAAAATCCTCAGTGGGACACTGTGTATGGCTGACCTTCACAGTTGACACACATGAGCAACATCTACACCTACATTGTGTTGGAAGCAATGTTCAGCCATTCTAAACGGGAAAGTTCCTTTGTGGAACTGGAGAGAACGTTAACTGGTTCAGTGGGGTCTTCCAGGCCCAGATTTTACCCAGCTTTGTAACCCTAATTAAACAGAACATTAAACGATACGCTATGACAATGAGCCAATTATACCATCCACAAAGGTGTTTCAACTAAAAAATAAAAAGTGCCTCGTTTTGTCCTCGATTAAAGGATACTTTCTTGGAGTTTCTGAAGTGACACTGTTTCCCTGTGGACTGGAAGGATGTTTTGCTCCAACATGGCCAATCTCTCCTCAAAGGACGTCAGTATGGTCACCTGTAGAATAATAGAAAGCAATCAAAATTACATTTTTCTTTCATAAGATGGAACTTTTTGCGTCGGGGTGAGCTAAATCAAATTAGGTTTTGCCCTTTACCGACGTATAAACACTGTATACTCAGTGTGTTACCTCCAGAGTGAAAGTTGGGAAAAAATCACTCAGGTGGGACTTGAACCCACGACCTCCTACTTTCTAGTAGAGGATGTCGAACCACTGGACCACCGAGCAAATGGGATCGGTTGGCCAGTTTGAATATAATGTACATAGCACATGTAGCAGCGGGTACCGCATTAACTATTCGTAAGTAAATTTTTGCATCGGGGTAATGTAAATCAAATTACATTTTGCCTTTTCTTTTTTTCCAACTTTCATTTGGGAGGTAACAGGTAACACATCAAGTATACAGTGTTTATACGTTGGTGAAGGGCAAAACCTAATTTGATTTACATTTATCTTGCAACCAATATGCTCCAGAGAAAGCTGTGGGAAATTGGGACTTAAGATTTTTTTTTTTTTGGTGTTTTTAAATCAAAGTGCCATCTTTAGTATCTTTAAATTGTTCACGGTATTATCGATACAATGTAGGCCTTTATAGAATATTCTCAATACTGGATTTCCGATATATCAAATATTGACAATTCAGATATCTACGGTGCTTAGTCTTGGGTCATTACATGTACGTTGGTATATAGAGTATGCAACCACCTGCCGAAAGAGAGCATTATCAAAATGAACCGCTAACACCCATGAACCGCTACCACAGCACATCTTGGGAATCTTGTAGCGGCAGTGTCATGAGCACGCATACATGTACCTGTTTTGCCTATGCAGACACATTCAACATCTTGCATATTACATTAGCTCTGAACCAAACTTCGAATTTTCAGCCAGTAGCATGCAAGACGCTAGCAAACTTTAGTGCACTGTACTGTCTAAGGAGCTAAAGAGCTCTTGAATTGCTATAGAGCTCTTTAAACAACTTCTGGAATTTGTGCAAATTTTGGGGTTGGGTTTTCTACAGGTACCCGGGCACCCATGTTTTACTGCATAACTGGAAACCAGCGACCAGAATTAGAAGTTGTTACTGCGGTGGTGCCAAGCTCACACGCATGTTGCACGCGTTCTTAAAGACGAGGCACGCATTGGTTGGAAGGAGCCCGAAGTGAGTGTGTACTAACTGAGCGCAACTTGCGCAAGCCTGGTGCCACCGCAGAAAATGGCTGTCGACGGACTAGTCTGTAGGTACCTGGTTCCCGCAGTACCCGGAAATGCACAGCACTACTGGGAAATAGCAAGGCAGCATCTATTTCTTACCATATTTGATGTCATCTGACTGCTTTTGCTGAGACTTTCTTGAATGAAGGTCAGATCCTCTGCTCCCTGAAACAGAAATAAAAAGAAGTTGGAGGAGTTTGTGAATAACTTCAAAATATCTGATAGGGGTTTCACAGATTGTGGAGATGTATCCAAAGAGGACATGAAAATGCGTCAACTTTAATACCAATGTGCATCGGTGGCTGTTACCTGTCATTCAGTAATCATTGGTCTGAATGCACCCACATGCGTGCGCTGTTGACAGAATTGAATGACAGGCAGTGTTGTAGGTCAAGAGACCTGGTCTCAGTCTCGAGACCTTTTTTGTGGTCTTGGTCCCGGTCTCATCCTATCAAAGTCTCAGTCTCAGGAGGGCTGGTCGCGGTCTCAAAAGCTCTGGTTTCAGTCTTGGTCTCGGTCTTGGATGCTAAAGTATCGGGTTTTACCCCCGAGACCGGTTGAGACCACAACAAAATGCACCATTTACAAATGGCTTTATTCATTTGCAAGCTGAATTACACACGAGTCTAGTCTTTACTCCAAACATAAAAGAATTTGTTGTAAGTTTTCATGCTGAAGATGAAAAATTGAAGCTGGAATAAAGACCAGTCAATTCAGCTTGTCAATTCAGTACCCTTGCACAGTTACATTGCCCATGTATTTCACTGGTACACATTGTACTGTCCTAGACGTGACCAGCAGTGCTTGCACGTGCAAATGTAACACGTTCTTGTGCTTCATTTCTGACATTTAAGAAGTATTTGCTAGACTTTACGTTCAACAATAAGCCTTCTGCAAGTAAAGTATGACCTTTGTTTGCAGGAAGTTGTATACCGACTTCCAAACTTTGGTGGCTGCAATTTAGGCAGTAATTTAGAGGGCCTAATTTTGAAATTGGAATTCGCCCGACTGACAACATTTTTGGGGTGCAAGGTCTTGCATAGTTTGTTACGAGTTATATTTACATTAAAAATCAATCAATAGGGTACCGGTAGGAAACTCATCCAAAATATTTTTGAATGTTTTCAACCTGCCAATACTATATTTGGACTGTGAGATTTCTTTTAGTTTTTCTTTATGTTGGGTCTCGGTCTCGGTCTCAAAAGTCTTGGTCTCGGTCTTGGTCTCGATCTTCAAAAGTCTCGGTCTCGGAAGTCCGCTCTCGGTCTCGAAAGAGCTGGTCTCGGTCTTGGTCTCCGTCTCGAATGCCTCGGTCTCGGTCTTGGACATGGAGGTCTGGACTACAACACTGATGACAGGCAACAGCCACCGATGCACCTTGGTAAAGTTGACGCACGTGCAGTGGAAACCCATATCATAACCCATGACCTCAGATCTCTCAGATTACTGGAATATGACACTATGTGTTTCTGTCGAGCGCAATTTGAGTCCCTCGCACAAGTTTAAACTTGCGCGAGCAAGTTCAAATTTATATTGACAACCATTGACAATGCATGAGCCAGCCAACGACAGTGCAATACGTCATTATGAAAAATTAATTTCTCATCAATATTTTTTTTTCAATGGATACTTTAAATGCGTCCAAAGATTCATCACTGCAACAAGCGATCGTGCATGGTCTAGCGCCAGTAGCGGTTAAAGTGTTGTGTTTCAAACAAGAGTCAGCGGTCCGAATTTGGATGAACTTGAAGTGACTGATTAACCCTCCTATGGAAACATGCATTGTCAGCCTGCTTATTACTTGGGTCAACATTGGTCAAGACCCCCATTGGTTTGTACACAGTAGGCCAGGAGGTGAGGAAGAAAATGGATACTTTAACCCTAACCGCCCTGAATCCTCCAAAATCCTTTCTGCAAATTGGAGGAATATGCAGGATTGAGGTTACATGGCAAAAGTGCGTTGCTGATTTCGGAGTACGCACAGTGTCAAGGTCTTGGGCCGGACCTTGTGTTGTTTATGCTCATCCATGCATAAATTTAGTCCTTGATTATACTTGACAACCTCCGTACTGCTCAAGGATGTCACTGCCTCTGCCTCAGCCTATTGACAGTCATAGCCGGAGGATTTTGCAGGATTCAGGCAGTGGTCACCCCTCCATGGACCATATTCAAGAAATAACGGAGGAATTTGCAGGATTGAGGCTATATGCTATTTTTCCATGAGGCCAATTGGAGGATTTTGCAGGATTGAGGCTACATCCTAGCAAAAAGGCCTAGGGAGTTAGGGTTAAATACGTCCAAAGATTGATCACTGCAACAAGCGATCGTGCATGGTCTAGCGCCAGTAGCGCCAGTAGCGGACCATTGGTGACCTCTATCTTAACTTAAGCAAGAGGTAGTCCGAGTAACTTGAACCCAACTTATCGCCTTTTTTAACATTTGGACATGGTCTGGCGATAGTCCGAGTAACTTGGACCTAACTTATCGCCTTTTTTAACATTTGGACATGGTCTGGCGATCGCCAGACCATGTCCAAATGTTAAAAAAGGCGATAAGTTGGGTCCAAGTTACTCGGACTAAGCAAGAGGAGGGTTAATATAATAATAAACAGGAATAAAGCCTAAGGAAAGCAGAGGGTGAGAGTAGAGTAAGGAAAGTGGAGGAAATAACCATAAAGGATGCAACTTTTTGGCACTTGAAAAAAAGTGGTGGCCTAGCACGGAAATCTTTCATACGTGATATACATTGTGCGATTCACAAGTGTCGGAAATAGACCACTTTTTCCTATCACAGGCCGTGGAGGTATATCGACATCGTCACTTCACAACGAAACTCCCTAAAACTTCCCTAATTTCGGAGGAAAAACAACATCTTCGACCTCACCTACCTTTATTAACTTCTCATCTATGTCCTGTATTTTTTGCACTGTATCTTCCATGTTTATTCCTTTTTTCTGTTCGATTTTATATGCAATGGGCGGTTCGCAAAATTTTCAGACTAGGAGGCTGCCATCTTTTTTTTAACAGCGCTGGTTAAACATATCCTGCCATCAACTATATAGATTAGCGTTCAATGTTCTGTCAGGTACCAGTGAAGTAAGGGGCGGGGCCGGAGAGGGGAGGATGGCTGGCAAGGGGGGGGGGGGGGGAGGCGGGGAGAGTCAATCAAATGTGGCGGTGTGTCAATTTTGGGAGGTACAGGCAGTCCACACCCTGTATATACAGAGCAAAGTTCCTCGGATGTATCATGGACAACCAAAAAAAAATAATGAAAAGTGTATTAAGTGCAATTCATAAATACCTCAGACAGTTTAGCCATTCCTATTGGTCGAGAGCCCGTCACGTGGCCGGTATTAAACGGATGATAAAGACATGGCTAGCTGGTCTTAAACACTTTTCCAGTGTCACAATAAAATGTGGACTCCTAAAAATCCAGTGCCTCTTATCGTTTCATTGGTTGAACGTTCACAATCCTCACGTAGGCATGCGCAACACTACCAGGGAGTTAGAATTTTATAGTTCTAAATTCAAAACGCAACGCGCCAGGTGCGTTCTGCGCGACATCGCATAGAACATGATACGCGCGCGTCAATCTCCATAAAAGGGTTGTTTTCATCTTACTCGCCAGCTGAACACTCCATTATTTTGCAGGAGGGATGATTCAAAAAGCATAAAGTGAATTTGTTGCACAAAATCGGGATGTTTTGAACGAATTATATGATTTTTTTTTACCGAAAAGGTATTTATGAATGGGAATAAATATGTACTCCGTCGGTATTTATCACTCTGTTTAATACCACTTAGAGTCTGGGTGCTGATAATTACCCTCGCCTCCGGCTCGGGTAATTATCAGCACCCAGACTCTAAGTGGTATTAAACAGAGTGATAAAAACCTCCGGAGCACACATTTATTCCCTTATTAAACAATAAATAAAGTGAATTTAATAATTCGTAATCACAAACATGAGAAATATTACTCAGTCAGGGAGACGCTCCTCAATTTAGATTCTTGGAATACAATGCACTTTATGCGTTGCAGGTAAATTGGAGGGTTAACCATAGAGCAAGGAAACAGGTGGTTAAAATTTGTTTATTTTTTATTCAGTCAGTCTTATCATTACCTTGTTCTATGTACCAATGAATGTACAAAAAAGATTCACTCAAAACCATTGCCTGGTCTGCTGGCAAGATGACTAATTTTAAAAAGTGTATATATTTGTTTGTGCAACAAAGGAGATAAAATTAAACTTGGAATATTCATGGAGCATTGGTGCTGCGAGTGCCTTAATGAAGGGAACAATAGTACACATTTACATATTTTACTAATGGGCCAAGGGTGACGTATATTTTGATTGATCTTGACTATTTTATTGAGGGATCTGAGACAGTTAAATATGGAGCATCGCCTCTAAAATTCTACCGATGGACAAAGCCAAAAAAACAGTCATCGTTTCAACTTCTTTTTAATTAGTATGTCAACAATTGTTATGTCGCACAGTGACTGTTGATTCATGGGGATTGGGAACACCCAACTCGTCAATCTCACAACGGTGCGATTTTGACGGGTGGAGGTTGCACAGTTCAATGATCATGATGACATGTGTGCACCCAACGGTTTAACGCGCGTACTGACTGCAGCTAGCTAGTTTCACTTCCGGCTCGTGACGTCATGGGTGTGGTATGGGAACACATTACAGCCAACATGGCGGCGAGTGTCTTTACGTGCTGCCTGTCTCCGCAGGAGATAGAGGCAAAATCCAAGAGCCAGGCCATCGACAAGGAGCTGAACAAGTACAAATCTTACATCCGGAGAGAAATCAAGATCTTGCTGCTAGGTGCCGGCGAGAGTGGGAAGAGCACTTTCCTGAAACAGATGAAAATCATCCACGGACAGGAGTTCACGGATGAAGATTTCAAAGACTACCGCAATATCATTTACTCCAACGTTATCAAGGGGCTCAAAGTGCTGCAGGACGCCCGCAGCAAGCTGCAGATACCGTGGGGGGACCCGGCTAACGAGGAGCACGTTGCCCAGGTCATGGGCTGCGACACGGCCCAGCTAGAGCCCACGGTTTTCGGGCAATTTGTGCCGAATTGCCGGGCGTTATGGGCCGACAGCGGAATACAGGGAGCGTACGACAGAAGGCGTGAATTTCAGTTGGTGAGTTTGTATGCACGCCCCACGTACACGTAGGCCTACCGGACCGGGGCGGTCCGATCATCAGACACGGAACCGTTCATGCGTGTGGTTTTGGCATACACTTTAGTTTGTACAGTATGTGGTACTAAAATTATTGTATTTGAGCAATGCATTGTGAGACCATAATAATGCTTTGCAAAGTAAATAAATGTTGATCACTCTCTGTCAAATGTCATGCATAGCCCTCGTTATGTCTAATTGTTTATTATTTTCTGTAATTTAATTCAAAACAAACATAAGTAACAAATTAGGGCCTACTATTAGTTTAATAGTGGTTAGGGCCTAACTTTTCAGTCATAGCACTAGCAGGACTTTTGCTAGGACCAAGGCGTAAGGCCCTCTAACATTTTTATTGGTATTATCTAGGTCAAACCTGTCGGTGTTTAAGCAGTTTGCAGCATTTTTATTCATTTTCCTGCAATATAAAGTATGTTTTATGTGATGCCGTAGAGAAAATAGAGCAAGGTGACACTGATGATACCCAAGTCAAAATAGCAAGTTTTTGTTGTTTCTTGTACAATGTACATAAACATGTAGATTTTAACATGTGTATCCTGATAACTAACATGACTAACCTGGAAAAAGAATTTTTTTGTTGAATACTGTAGGCCTAGTCCTAGGCCTATATGATGATGAGTAGAGACACAGTTGCTTTTAGTTTTATTTATTTATTTTTTTTTATAGATGAAACCAGAACAATGTGTCATAATTTTCGAGCTGATAAACATGTACATGTAAATCAGCATATAATTTAGTGACTAGTGAGTGCCATTTTGAACCAATATACTATACATACTTAACAGAAAGTGTGTCCTCTGAAGCACGAGGAAGAGGAAGTACCTCAGACTTTTGGTATATTGATTGTGACAGTCAAATTGTTTTCTGGAGCCTTATATATCTCATTGGTTTTTCCTGTTAAGGTCAAACTACCGGTAACAGACATGCTAGATTTTTCAAAAACCACCATGACCACCTGCAGATTTTTGTAGGATTTTGCAGGATTGAGGAAGTTAGAGCTCAGATACATAATAGGCTCATAGAGTGGTATGCCAGTACAACTAGATCTGGTACACGTGTATGCATGCCAGTACAACTCTCCCAGATCCTTTAAAATACACCTGAAGCTTTTGTGGGATTTTGCAGGATTGAGGAAGGTGGAGCCCAGACATATAAACATACAGTGACATGCCAGTACAACTCTCCCAGATCCTTGAAAACCCACCAGAATATTGTTGTAGGATTTTTCCAGGATTGAGGAAGGTGGAGCCCAGACATACCGGTACATACAGTGACATGCCAGTACAACTCTCCCAGATCCTTCAAAATCCACCTGCAGATTTTGAGGGGATTTTTCAGGATTGAGGAAGGGATCGGAGAAGCCAGACATGTAGTGACATGTGACTTGATGCAATACAACCTTCTTAGATCCTCCAAAATCCACTAAAAATGTTGCAGGATTGAGGAAGTTAAATGCAGTGACATGTGGCTCATGCCCCTTGGAAGTACCATTTGAACAAGAAGTACAATTGATCTGGGGGAAAAAGTCCCTTGCCCGTCCTATACAGCAGAATTATTTGAGTTGCAGAGCATTGCAGCCTTGTTCGTTATTCCTTGCGTACTTCTTTTCCATCTGAGATTCTTGATCTAGTGAATGACCACACCTGCTACATTGTAATTCATTACGTCACCGGGCTCACCAAATGCATGCATTTCACTCATACACACACACAAAATCTGTGTGCACCCAATTACAAAAATACTGATAAGCCTGAGGAGAGAAAGAAAATTTATAGTACAGTGTGTTGCTCAAGGACAAAATGTACGCACCTGCTTACTTTACTACTGTCAATTAGCTTGCCAAATGCATGCCCCTCCCTGATATATACACCTACCTAATTAACTCAGAATAGAGACAAAGAGAAAGACAGGTTATGGTGAAATGTCTTGCCCAAGGACACAAGTATCCGGCTTTGAAACCGCAGTAGCCAATGTGCTTTGAGAAACGGTTTTGTACAGTTGTGTAGATATTAGTCAGTGCATTTAATAGCAAAAAAAAAAAACAGGTGACAAAAATGCAATTCACACAAGCACAAGGCTGTGAAATTAACCAAATTTAAACCTGATTTAACCAGTCACAGCCAAAATGTCCATCCACTTCCCCTGCTACATGTGTATACTTGTAGACACACTAGTCACCAGCAGTCAGATCATAATGTCGAGCAAGCACTGTGACTAGTCAAACTCAGTCAACAGACCATGAACAGACAAAGCAGGCAAGTTGTGGGCACACCTGGTTTATCAATTACCCACAGCCAAAGCAAAGCTGTATCGAGCATAAACAGCCACAGTCAGTCAATCTTGCTTGACATATATGGAGGCTTAGAATTCTTAACTGTTGAAAACAGTCGCTTGATTGATTTTGACTGAAAGGACTACTTGGTAGTTAGCGCAGAATGTATGTTTGCATAGGAGGGTTAATATTATTGAACTAAAATCATGAATACCCAGTGATTAGGCCAAAAAAAAAAAGTCTCCGGTTTCTGGTATGGGCGCGCGTCGCCGTAGCCATGAGCGTCTGCAAAATGAAAAAGGTTTTTTCAATAAAAGATGATGTCTAAAAACCGCCAAACTCACTGGTTTGACTGGAATCCTGCTGCTGCACAATTTTAACGTGTTTTTAGATGGGGTTATGATCGAGAATAAGCTTTATGTGGCCTCTCTGGACTCCCATATATTTGCACTAAGTTTAGTCGGGCACCATTTGCAGTCATCAGCCGACATTTGAAGCAAAAAAAAAAAGGAAAAAAAGAAAAAAAAAAACGCGTCGCCGCACCACTTTTTGGGCAAGCTCCATACCAGAAACCGGAGACTTTTTGGGGGGGCCTTATAAATGGAAGAAGCCATCCTCTTCCCAGCAAAATCTGCCTCTGTGCATTAATGACGCATAGTACATGTACATACAGTGTGTACTATTATGTGCTTACTATATTGAGAATTGAGACATCAATCATCATGCTGATGCATGTGAATGGTGTCTGGGCTATCCATCAGTGATGGCTTCACAACATGACAGTCAGGGTTCTGATGCTTTCAGGAGGGCACGGGGTTAGCAATTCAATGATAAATCATAGATATGTGAACTTGTATACACGCGCAGTACATACTGTATATCAGGGAGTGGCAATAGGCAAACTGCATACAGTTTACGAAAATATTATCAAATACATTGTAAACCTCAACTGACTACATATGTAGGTGCATAGTGATAATTTTTTAGAAGTTGAACAAAGAAATTTACTGGAACAGGGTTTGAACCTGCGACCTCCATATTGCCATTCCAGTGCTCTACCGACTGAGCTATCTGGCTTTAGGCCAAAAAAAACCACAAGTCTCCGGTTTCTGGTATGCGCGCGCGTTGCCGTAGCCATGCGCATCGGCAAATTAAAACATTCTTTTTTCAATGTAAGATGATGTCTCAAAACCGCCAAACTCACTGGTTTGACTGGAATCCTGCTGCTGCACAATTTTAACGTGCTTTTAGATGGGGTTACGATCGAGTATAAGCTTTATGTGGCCTCTCTTGGCTCCAATATATTTTGCACTAAACTTAGTCGGGCACCATCTATGCACTATGCAGTCATCAGCCGACATTTGAAGAAAAAACAAGGGGGAAAACAAAAAACGCATCGCCGCACCACTTTTGGGGCAAGCTCCATACCAGAAACCGAAGACTTTTTCTTGGCCTTATGTTGGCGGATCCCCATTTTGTCAATGTGTTTGTTCAAGGGGTGCTAATCAGCAGCAACAAACCCGTGAATAACCAGGGATCACGCCCAAAGTCGCGATGCTAGTGCAACATTAGCAATGCTGAAAACTGGGGAAATACTAGCAAACATGGATCACTCAAGAGAGTTTATTTTTTATGAAAAATACTCAGAGGAGTTCTTACACCGACCGAAGAGTTCTGATCCTTCATGATCCTGGCATGTCCCGTTCTTCCCAAATGGTTTAGCCGCGGCCAACCACCTTTGTTTGCTGTATTTTCCTTTTCAATTAGAGAGAGAGAAAAAAAAGGAGGGGCACTGCTGAGTGTACTTGATATCCATTTAGTTGGCTCTCCCAGACGCACACGCTTGTCATGGTTGGCCAGTAAAAGTGGAGGACTAACCCAAGCCAATCAATGCCTCAGTTGATACTGAAGTGCCACTTGGACTTGGCGGATTCTCTGGGGTTTTTTTTAGGGAAGGGGAAAGATGGATTTAAGTTCGAAATTTAGGCTAAGTAGTAAGTACGTATATTCTCAGAATTGTGTAGATGTTTGTACAGTATTGATTTTGAATTACTCAAGAGGATATGGATATGACTTTTTTGATACATGTACAAGTTGCTCAGACTAACAAAGCTACGTACCGTATTTCCAAGCCCCTCCAGGACCAAGATGCTAGTGATTCGATAGTGGATCGTGCATATCTAACGGCATGATTAGACTACGTCTTGGGAAATCAGCAGTTTAAGTTTTTCTTTATTTTCTCCCTTGGCTTTCCTAGGGAACCAATCAGCGATCGTGAAATGGTTTAAAGTCAGTCACGCCCGCTCGCGCGACGGTTTTAAACAGGTACGCACTACGTGCGGTGATCAAGCATCACTTAATAGATACGCAACGCAGTGATACTCCCGTGTGAGCGTGCGACCACTGGTATCAAATGGGAAGCCGCCGTTTTGTTCGAAGATGTTAATATTTACACCAACGGTCTAATTTTCATAAAATGGCCACGCCCCCATTGCTGCAAATTTCCTTAAACGTTAGTGTGAGGAAGTAAATGAAAAAATGCAACAATGCAACCATCGCTATTGATCACTAACATGACTAAAGTCTTTGGCCAAGACCTATGTACAGTATATATATGCTAAAAAAAAAAATTAAGGAAACAAGCAAACAAAGTCAAAGGTGGCGGCTTGAT